CCATTCGTGTTTCAATCATAATATGGATGCAGCGTGGTTCTACCACCTTTGATTTCCTATTCCCTTTTATTTTTATATTTAGAATTAGAGATATGTGTCAAAAAAATACTGGCATTCACTACGCTGTGTTAGGTATCAGGTCGCTATTGCGTAATTACATGCATGATATAATCATAAATATTTGATTCATAGAAAAACTATGACAGTTCGTTTCGTATATTTCACTCATTCATTGTGCAAAGTAAGCTGTCATAGTTTTCTCACTTTTCTATATCAGCGTTACCGTTATAGCCTACTTAAATCCACTGTTGAAGGCCTCTGCCATAGATTGCCTTAAAGGGGAGATATTTGCCATGGTTGCCACGCTTGGCAAGCAGGTTGGCAGCTGCAATTTTTTAGTCATTATCATGAAGACGCCGCTGCCCATATCCTGATTTGTTTCCCACTGTCGCCTTTTACGACACACACGGGATGATATGGGGTGTGGGGGAGATTTTAACACTGCCACTACACGGTAGACCTTTCTATGATCATATACTTAATTATGATAATGTAATGCAGCCATAGTTCCTACCTTGATGTATAATGGTGAAAGTTGAGTGTGACAGATGAAACATGAGAGAGTGCTGAAGAAATGCGGTCATTAAGCTGTATTTTTATGAGTGACTCTGTACGACAGGGTGAGAAATTGTGTAATAAGAAAAAAGTGTGGTTTGCAAGGAGATGTTGTGTCTAAGATTATGAAAGACACACTTTGGTAATTAAGTCGTGTAAAAACGCAAAATATTATCGACCAAATTGAAGATATATTATTATATCGTCAATTTGGTATATAGAAAGAATGTGTTAATATTTAGAAATGTTAGAGTATTTTACATATGTTTTTCTCTTTGTTTTACATTTTTATAACATATATTTAATATAAAGGATAAAGTGTGGTAATTATTTCATAACATAAGTAAGTAATTTATGTTTATTACGCTCGGGGAGTGGCGCCATATACTGAAATTCAGGTTTTGGCCTAGTTTGGCAATAAATGCTATTTTTCATGTAATAAGATAAAATATTCCTGTGTAGTTTATAAGTAAACATATTGTTAACTGATATATTTGGAAATAAAGATTATTATCATATTATTAAAAAATATGGCCCAAGTTATGAGCACACGGGCAAGTATGCGTAGACTACAATATGAGGATGTGAAGGAGACGAGAGAGATGAATCAGGCTGTGCCAAATTGAAGTCCGTTGTTTCTGTCTACCCTCTATGTCTAAGTGACGGGTGTTTGCATTTATTTAAGTACACCAACGATTGTTGGAATGCAGAAATCAACTTAGATACTAATTGCACAATTAATTAAAGATATACACCACATGCTTCAAGTTAACTAAAAAGTTACATAGAATACAAACACTTATGATAGAACAAATTAATATTATCTGTGTAAACAATGACTTACACCTAGTTACTTAAATAATGTATCACTTGCTGTGGTAAGCTAGAGATATAACAAGAACATCTATTGACCCACCGTACTTATAATATAGTTGGAAAATCCTGGAGACCAGTGAATTGGCTCCCAGAACTGTTTTGTGTAACGGACGATAGAGAGGTTCAATGGGCTTACAAGGCATTCGTGACGGAACTTTAAAATTGAATTTCATTAGGAGTGCAGGACAACGCAACTGATATTTTATTATTTTGAAAAAAGAAGGATAGGTCAAGTAGATTGACGATCGATCCTTTCGGTTGTCCAATCTTATATACCAGAAGTGTGGGAACACCAAGTGTTGGTTTGTGTATTGGTTTATGTTACGTCGTGTTATCATACGTTGGTTATGTTATATTATTTGATATTATTATGTGTTATATTATTATTTAAACCTAGCGATACACCTGAGAATAATGTGACGTTATATTGATTTAGGATAATAATCAAAAAATATCCGATTTCTCAGAAAAAATCCTATTTTTTTATGATAGAATCAATCCTAGATCACTCCTGGCGTTGTTCTCTATCTGTTTGTGAAGTTTCATAGCAATCGGTGCGGCCGGATAGACAGACAGACAGAAAGACTATTTTTTTCAAAGGTTTATTCATTTTCTATAGAATAAGGATGACAAACAAGCACACAGTCCTCCTGATGGTAAGTGAATGTGTGTTTATCCTCGGTTAAGAATCACAACGCAGTTGCGTTGTCACCCGTAGGACTAAGATGGAATGCCTCGTTTCCAATAAAAAAGGGGTATCTGGATGTTTACACTCACCACACGAAACACAGCATTATTAAGCTGCTATTACACGGTGGTATTCTGTGAGAACGTGGACTTTCCTACCACGTATGAAATGTACATGTCTTAATGGCACCAAAATAACTCCCTCAGTTTAATGAAAGACAGTTATTTTAATATTACAGATGAGAAATCGACTTTATTTATATGTATTGATGTATATGTTAAGAAAAATGCAAACATTACACCAAACATACTATTACGAAAGCTAAACCCTACTAACTTACGTAACTGTCGTAAACAAGAGGACGATTTATTTTGTATAATGGCAATTTATTACAACGTTCTTGAAGCCACACTTAGAAACATCTGCGCTTGAGTTATTCCAGTAAGCAGGGTCTTGGACAGTATTTTTCCAATATATTTTATGAGTTATATCTTATATGAAAACAAGTGTTGTCCCCAAGGGGTAGCGTTTATTAAATAAGTTTTCCCGAGAAACGATATTGTTAAAACAGCTTGTACATGTACATGTACACAGTAATAACGACTTTGTTATAATAGAGGTACAGTTGTGTTGAACATAAACTGGAAGTTATAAGTAAACTATAATATGACAACTTATTAATGTATGTCATTGTGAAATTTATTTTTGTAAACTGCCTCCACAATACAAGAGAAAATCCTAGTGTGGGGTAGACATTTTCAAAAATAATATAGAAAACACGTGTGCGAAGCTCCCACACGGTAGAAGTGAAACGTTATTATTTTTTTTATTAATAAAAATTATTAATTTTTTTTTTATTTGTGATTTATTTAGATCGGGATAAAATTAAATAGGTACTGTATAAAGTATTCCATCTCATTCTATCGCAGGTTAAATTTTATAGATGTATATGTTTGTCTGTTTTAGTGTCGCTTTTCGTTTTAAATCACAACTTTTAAGAACTTTTTGACTTCAATGAAGTAAAGTGAAGTTAACCCTGTATACGGCCTCACTCCTGAGTACAGGCCTCGTCTAGTTACTAGGACAAGGAAGTGTCAACCAAGCTGTCTCAATGCGTTTTGGTGGAGTTCACGTCTTCGAAATATTTCATTTTATTTTCCATATATGCATGTTTTTATCTGGGGGGACGGTAGTGCCCCCGCCAAGTCGAACAACAAAAAAGCGGCACGGCCGTATCATCCTTTTCGCGAAGCAATTCAGGCCATTTTCTACCCCCTGTAACTTTTTTATAAATAAAACTAGAAGCCTGAATTTTTAGAAACCAAGCAGGCATTGTAATAAATTAATTGTAATAATTTCAAATTTAATTCAATTTAAACCAGTAGTTTAAGAATTATGACTAGTCAAAGTTGATTAAAACTACTTTTACGGATTTTATCGCGTTTTATTTATTTTATTTTTAATACCCGACGTTTCGGGTACTTTTCAGCACACATGGTCACGGGGGACTAAGGTGACTGACGTCCCGATGTCAAAGTTAACCCGGAGTACCTTCAGCTTTTTTAATTATTGTCTTTGGTCCGCACAGAAAGACGACTGGAAAGGATACGTTATTAACATCAATGGCAAGTACATCACTCACCTTCGATTTGCCGACGATTTAGTCCTTATGGCAGAATCGCTGGAGGACCTAAGCACTATGCTCAATGATCTCAATGGTGTCTCCCAACGGATAGGTCTTGAGATGAACATGGACGAAACAAAGATCATGTTTAATGTCCATGTCACACCTATGCCGGTAGTTGTTGGGAGCACTATGCTCGAAGTTGTTGACGAGTATGTTTACCTGGGACAAATAGTCCGACTAGGTAAGTCCAACTTCGACCAAGAGGTCAATCGTTCGGGAAATTACAACACATCTTCTCGTCAGGTATACCTCAAAACCTGAAAACTAAGTTGTACAACCAGTGTGTGTTGCCAGTGATAACTTACGGAACCGAGACGTGGTCCTTCACTGCTGGCCGTATGAGGACGCTCAAAGTCGCTCAGCAAGCTATGGGGGAGCTATGCTCGGAGTTTCTCTGCGTGACAAACTTAGAAATGAGGAAATCCGCAGTAGAACCAGAGTGACCGACATAGCCCAAAGGATTAGTAAGCTGAAGTGGCAATGGGCCGGCCATATAGCTCGAAGAACCGATAACCGATGGGGAAGAAAGGTTCTCGAGTGGCAGCCTCGTACCGGTAGGCGTAGCGTAGGGCAACCCTACATTAGATGGAGTGACGACCTGGTAAGACATGCAGGAAGTCGATGGATGCAGGTGGCTCAGGACCGTGCTTTGTGGCATAACTTGGGGGAGGCCTTTAGACCGACTGCCGGACCTCTAAATTATTTGTTTTTATAGGCAATAAGAAGCCATGACAATATAAGCGGTTTCATAAACATGACCTATATTCTCTCCAGGACCATTACTGCTCAAGATCGATATGTGTTATTTTTAATTTTTGATCTCCTTTTTAAACTATATAACTGAAATAACGGCTTTTGTCTGTCTGTCAGTCGCTCCGGGCTTATCTTCGGAATGGTCAGCTATAATATTTAAACATGCCAGGAGAGATCTAGGCTGTATTTTATACGAAAAACTTAAAGATATTTTTAAGAATAAAAGTATAAAATTTGTTAAAATAAATGGATCTTAAACCTCAATGACGGCGGATCGCTAGTTTGTGATAAAATTCGTCTTTATTTGTGTTATTCGTTTCATATTTTATTTGCGAAATCAATGTATTTAATCATGTGTAATAAATATTCCATTGTTTTCAGGTGTCGGCAGTTGTGGACGACGTATACACGGACCATTCTCACGTAGCCGGGTCGTTTACAATGCTGGCTAGTTCCAGAGCACATGTCGGGGGCTCCCTCAATGCCCGCGCATTACCCGGAGCTAGAGTCCACACTAATTTCATCGGCTGTTTAAAAAAGGTACACGTTTTTGATAAATGTTTGCAATAAATATTTATATTTTGTTAATTAATTCATATTTTATTAAAAAAGGGTATTATAAAGTTATATTCATATGTTTAAAATCATAATCCCGATAGGTTTCGTGCTGGTACCTCCCAGGTAAAAGGTATTTTCCGAACCAATAGTAAATAAATAAAAAATGGCTTTCAGTAATTACTTTTATATTTTACTAGTTATATATATATATATATATGTATATATATATATATATATATATATATATATATATATATATATACTTTTTTTTGCATGGGGAAATGCCTACGCATACCCGCATCGCGGGGGGCTACGACGGGTTATGTCGGACTCGCACCGACTAAAACCCCATGGTGTTCCACCTTTGTCGCATATTGGCAGGGCTACGGGAACGCTTTCGCACACATCCGCGGCCCTACTAGCGCCTGCCGCTCCATGGCAGCACCTCCTCGGGAGAGGAAAATTCCTCCCCGTTCTCCTTCCCAGGTAAGGCGCACCAGAACACATGGCGCGCCTTCCTCCACGGCCTCCAACTACGTCTGTGCAACAGACGCCCCCGCGTCCGATGCACAAAGGCCATGGGGCCAGGAAAAACGAGCACTTAGAAGTACTAGCCTTCCCGACCCCAGCGGCGGATCTGGTCTATGGCTCCGCTGCCAACCAAGATTCGGCTGCGGAGGGTAGGGAGAGCGGCGCCTCGCAATACCGACAATCCTCTCCCCCCGCAGCCCCACCACCACCGCATCAACGGTGCGGCCCCGTTTGAGTCGCGAAGGATAGGGCGAGTGGCGCATCGCCATACCAACACTCCTCTTCCTCCGCGACTCCACCTCGGCTGCAGCGGTAGAGGGTGCGCGAGTCCCCACTCGCTGCAGTCCACCAGCACACATCTGAAGTGGGCTCCCCAAGCCCACTCGGAGCGGCCACCTCAGGCGGCCCTTCACCTCGGGCCAGCCACGTGGGTTCCTCTTTGTTCACCGTGGGAGACCAAGCCACGGCTACTAAGCCCCCCCGCCACGACAAGGTGGGAACCCGTTCGGGGGGGATATATATATACTTGGGGATTGAGTTCGTTTATCGTAGAATAAGGATGACAAACAAGCATAGAACACGTTACAAGCTAGAGCCACGCTGCAGCCTTATTAGTTGTTACAAAAATGGCTCGACTCAACCGGGGTAGGACCACGTTTTCACAGAATGCCAGCGTAAAAATAGCAGATAAAAGTTGTTGTGTTTCGTAAGGTGAGTCTGGAGAACCGGAAACCCTTTTTCCTAGAAACGAGGCATTCCATCTTACTGCTCAGGAGTGAGCATATAGTCTACTTGATGGTAAGTGGATGCTGTGGCCCATCTATCTACATTTAACTTTAATTAGGAATCTAAATGCAGATTCATTCTCACCCCTGAGGATTGTTTCGTTTTCAGTAAAAAGGGTCTTCAGTTCTCCACACTTACCATACGAAATACAGTATTACGATCATTTATCACGCTGTTATTCTTTGAGAGCGTGGTCTCCGGCTGAGTCGACCTATTCGTGCTACAACCATACCATAGCTGCAATATGGCTCCACACTTACATTTTATCAATTATGGGATCCCAAGCTGACGGTAGCATCCAACCAACTACCAGAAAGCTATAATTAGACGACATGCCCGCAGGATACGCAGTATTGCATCATACATTGCCTCATAACAGGCTTTTTATGGTGGAAGGTCCCACCTGCATCTCCCATTGTCTTCATTTAATGTGTAAAATTCGCGTGAATATAAGAAATCATTGATCCGAGGATAATGTATAAACAACTTGGAAATCGAGTTTGTTATAAATAATTTTTCCTTCCACAGGTGGAATTCTCAGCAGATACGTTGCGGCTGAATCTGATCGACCTAGCGCGCACTGGTAGTAAGCTGATCACTGTTACCGGTCGTTTAGAATACGCCTGCACTGCAACCGACTCTGCTGACCCCGTCACTTTCAGTACACGAGATGCGCATTTGGTAAGCAAGAGTTTAGAAAACAATATAATACCATATATTTATTTCAGGAATCATTATAACTTAACTTAAAAATATATAAATAAATAGCCACGCTGCAGCCATGTTATGGTTTTAGCACTAATGGGTCTATCAATAGTGCTAAAACCATTATATAGCTGTATCATTCCATGTTAGTCCTCAGGGGTGAAAACGTATCTGTGTTTTGATTATTAATCGATGATAAATCTAGAAGTCTATTGGTCACAGCATCCACTTACCATCAGATGGACTGTGTGATCGTTAGTCACCCTTATTTTATAAAAAAATTATATGAAATATAAACATAACACTATTAAATGAACTTTCTTAAATAATAAATTTAAAGATAAAATATTTAATATAACTAATATAAACAGCATAATATAAAAAATCTTAAATCATAATGGTTGTACCATTTTTTTAATCTTGAGGTTTTTTTTTATTTTATTTTATGCTAATAACTTACTATACAAGTAAGTTTTATACGAAGACCGTAAAATACAGTTAAAGATAGTTATCGATATGCGAATTTAAAACTACTAAGAAAAAAAAATTAAAACACTTCTGGCACATAATTCTAATTACATTTTTAGTGTTTATTGATTTAATTTTAAAATAGAAATAGGCTTAAAAAATTAGTGCTAAAAAATATATTTCTCTCTTTGAGATCGGCTTACTTTTTAATAAAAGCTTATTTTTGTCCTTCTGAACGGAATAAGGAGTATCAAAATCCCAATGTCTTCTAGATAGGTAAAAACTTCATTCCTCATATTACTACCCTTAGGGTTGAAAGTTTTGTCCAAAGTAAATGGTATACAACCCCTGAAGTAAAACTTTTTTTACTAAAAAAATCATCAAAATTGTAATTCAATCGAATTGTGGAAACATGTAGGTAAACTTCTCCTCCTTTGTAGTTGAATAAAAAAGGAACATCACAATCGTTTCAAAATATTCGAATATATGTCGAAGAATATACGTCTGAATTGTCAACCTCAACCTTTTTAGAAGTCTGCTAAAAAGAACTGCATTTATAACAGTTTCTATGTTAAAAGTACGTAGACACATGCAACTATTATTCTATTATCCACAGACTAAGAACAAATTACTAACAGTGTTATACGCTTACAACGTGTAACAAACCGTTTCCTTTCAACTGAAACTTGAACATTGGTTGGGAGTATTTTATCTCGAAATACTTCAAATACGACACTAAAATTTCATTGAGAATCCGAAGTGGCTTTGGCACGATTATCTTGGTTGAACATTATTGAATTTGGGTTGAACAATTGACCAGTCTGAGAGAAGTGCTAAAATGTATAAAAATTTCTAAGCGCTCTTTCCGGGCACCGTTCACGACTTAATGCTTCGTTACTTAGGCAAAATTGTATTATTTCACTTCACTGGTCAATTATAAGTTATCGTTTTTGGATATAATGGAGAGTTAATTAAATTAATTATGTCTGGCCCAGTGAAATCTTCCGTTTAAACAAAAGGAAATTGTTAACAACGCTGTTTTCATCGCGGAGTTCTAAATTTTAAAGCAGAAATAAAGAATTAAACTAAATATAATACTCTAATATTTAAGCTAAATAAATACTGCAGTTCAATGTTAATATTCTAATCTAAATTCTATAGCAGTGAGTGAACTTTACAAATCTCTAAGCCGTGCTAACAAAATAATTACAAGGCCTTCTTGAAAACTTAAAATCCCAAATTTTTTTAATCTCAATATTTAGTACTTTCTTGCGTTATTCAATTTGTAAAAGTGCCATTTATTTACTTTCTTATTCACTGGCTCATTAAAATCCCACCACTTCTAAGTGACATGTAAACTGAAAATTTAATTTAAGGTTTATTCAAAGGAAATAACTTAAATAAAAACGATGTATTATGGTATCAATATCTTTTTAACGTTTAAATTAAAAAAAAATAAAACAGTGAAGTGTAAACGTTTTTTGGTTTATAACACGTAATATGATGAAGATTATATACATATACATTTGGATTAATAAGCGAATTAAAGTTTTTTAAAAGGCTTAGTAAAAGTGACGTTCGAGATTGTCGACTGAAAATGCCTTGGAGCTTGGTGTTCTTTTCAAGTTTTTATTTTGGTTTAATACAAACATTATAGAATCAAAATATCAACAGTTAAAGTATAATTTAGTCTAAGATTTAACAAAATCCATTGTAATAAATAAAGTATTAAATTCATAAAGGAGGTCATGAACGATTGGTAGTTTGTTATAAAAATTTGAATTCATGATTGCTCAATTTTGCTGTAGGCTAATAAGTCACTTTGACGTGTAATAAATCATTCTATAGACCACAGGTTTCCAGGTTTCCGAAAGTGTTACCGAAATTGCTATAATCAGTACTGGCATTCACTTAATGGAGTTTGAAGGAAATACTAATTTTAATTTGTCGTGAAGAAACTAAGGTCACATTTTTTTACTTTGACGTCGTGATTTTATATTTTTTTTTATTTCTTGCTGTAATTAGATCGCATAAATTACATTGTTACTGATTTTTAACTAATTTCTATTTACCTATGACTTTTAAATGGAATTAGAGTGACAATCGAGCACACCTGATGGTAATTGGATGCTGTGGCCCATATATGTCTACATTTATCCGCGATTAAGAATCAATGCAAAAATATAGACCCCTGAGGACTAGGCTGGAATGCCTCGTCTTGAGTTAAAATTGTCTCCGGTTCTCTACCCTCACCATGAAACACTTCAGCTTTAGGCTGCTATTTTAGGCTGACTTCAAATGGTACAACAACAAATGTGTTACTTTCTTAAAATCCTGCCCTGTATCATACAACATAAGAAGGCCGAAGACAACAAAAATGAGTGAGTTCGATCCGATCATTAAAAACATCAGATGATGCTTGTTGTTGGTATACGTCACACACACGATGTAGTGGCGATATAAGAATATCCACTACCCCATTTCGTCCCGTGGGTATCGTAAGAGCCGGCAGGGAGAAAGTAAACTACCAGATGGGCGTCGTCGGGCAACCTGATAACAGCTGAAAAAAAACTGCGGCTGTCAACCCGCTTACCGAGCGCTGCAACTATGGCAAATATCCCCGCTATGAGGTAACCTATGGGGGAGGCTTAATATTTCAGCAGTGGATATTTTATATGCTGTATTGGTGGGTCACACATACGCGCGTTGGTCCATGCGTTATCATACCTTTACAGGTTGAACATACCTTTACACGCCTGTCATACAGTGGAGTAGGCAGTGACTACGCACTTCTATTTAGCACGATCATCACACAATTCTCTCGTTCCTTTCATATTCATATTTCTACGCATACATACTCGTCGGTTAAGGTTACTTTTAATATTGTATGATCAATTTTCAATTTAATGCTAATTTGGTCGATTTTCTTCCCTTGCCTACTCTGTCACTCATGTTGTATATATATATATATATATATATATATATATATATATATATATATATATATATATATATATATATATATATATGTAATACTTCAATGTCCAAGAAAGACGTCCTGCCCGGAAAAAAATTACTCTTCCGAAATCTTTTTCCCTTAATTCATCTGCCAAAGTACTAATGTGCACGATTCATATACTGTATTTGCTGATGAATACTTGTAGAAATTCTTTACATTATTAAAGATATTATAATCATTAACAAGTCGTGACCCGCGGGCGAAAATGTAATGGTTTGTGTTACCTAGTTTGAAGAGTTTTTTTTTAAATTAATTATCATCATCATTACGGCCCTTCACAAGTCCACTGCTGAACAAAATTCCCTCCCAAGGTCGCCACAAATAACGATTCTGAGCCACTCGCATCCATCGACTGTCTGCATATATTACTGGGTTGTCACTCCACCTGGTGGGGAGCCGCCCTACACTTCGTTTACCTGAACGAGGTTGCCACTTGATAATCCTTCTTTCCTATTTCTATCCCGTTGGGCTGTGTCGGTTACTGTAATTGTCCTCATTTATACAACTAAATATGTTTTAATTAAATTGGGAAGTAAGAGAAGAAGAAATAATGTAGATGTCCTACATCCCCTATTCATATCACGTTCACTGACATCAGTAAACCCATCACCACAAGCTGAATAACCCTATATCCACTACAAGGAAGAATAAATACCACCGTTAAAGGCACGAATCGTGTTTTATCGGAAGAAAACATTATCTATAGAAACAGACTGCCATTGCTTGTCGTAGTTGTTTAATGATACCAAAGAATACGTAGTAGTAAACCATGTTTTGTTTCTTTTTTTTTCAATTGATTCAACTTTTTTAGGTAAATAAATTAAAATTAATAAAATTAAGTACATTAAATATGAATGCTACATTCTTTGTATGCTCATTTTTGTGTTTAAATTTGTATTTACTGATGCAATGGAAGACGTTACCGTGTAGTGGCTTGCAGTAGTGGGTCTCCTTATGACCCACTACCTCATATCGATCCGTGCGTGCCGTAAGAAGTGACAGAGGAAAACTGAAACAGGATGCTGGGAAGCGGGCTTCTTCCTATAACAGCTTAAATTTATAAAAAACCTGATGTTACCAACAGGTTTGCCAAGTACGGCAACCACAGCATAATCCGGCATAATACGGTATAATAATTATACCTGGTAGAGTCCTGCTGCAGTTATATTAGTAGTATAGTTGTTGCACGAATGGTTCGGCTCGACCGGGGAAGGACCACGCTCTCACAGAATACCAGCGTAAAATAGTAGCTTAATACTGTTGTTTCGTATGGTGAGTGTAGACAATCGGATACCTTTTGTACTGGAAAAGAGGCATTCCATCTTAGTCCTTACGGGAGACAAAGCATTTGCATTTTGATTCGTAATAAGGATTAGATGTAGATGTCTATGGGCCACAGCAAGCACTTACCATCAGGGGACTGTGTGCTTGTTCGTCACCCTATCCTATACAAAAAAAAAAACCCTGTGAGGTAATCTATGGGGGAGACTTATGTACAGCAGTTGACTTTATAGGTTGTAATAAAATGATAGACGTGAGTATATTATTTCGTTAATAGGTAATATATAATGTTATCAGACTGCAAGACATTCCATATTTAGTCCTTAGAGGTAACACACAAAACTTTAGCCTTCTTGATTACAATTGGCTGACAGAAATCCATGGAATACAGTAACCACTTACCGTCAGGTGAAGTCCGTTAAACAATTCAGTTCTATTAAAAAAATACCTACCAATACAATTAAGCAAATTCGTGTGTTACATTTTCAATTGAAATTTAGAAAAACTCCTTTGCCTGAATATAACGTACAATTTAAAACGATTACTGCGGGTAGGTAGCAAAGCGGAAACATTTACATTAGCATTTGGCGCAATGAAATTGCCATGGAGGAGTTGATTCGACATAAAAAAGGTAAGGCGGAAAAAATTGTTAGATTCTTTATCGTCATTATCGCTTCACCATATATAATACATAATTTTTTTTTATCCTTTCTATTTAATTATTGCTGCACCGCCTCCAAAATGTCTATCTCTGTTTAGCGTAATGGTTGACTGAGGGAGAATGTGCTATGGCATTAAGTCCGCCATATGTACTACTTTGTGCATAAAAGCATAAATAAATAAATAAAATAATTTTTGAGGGAGAATACCCTAAAATTTTGTTGAACATTCAATTTAATGTCTTCAAAATATGTGGGACGAAAATATTCACTAACCTACAAGCGTAAGAACTGAACAAACATACAAATGTACTCGCATCTATTTAACAGTAAAATAGTTTTCTAGGGACCTTAAAATTGAGACAGAATGTACTGAATGACTTTTTTACCGTCTGTAACAAATTAGGGTGTAACAGATGAACGGAATAGAAACCTATGACAATGATATTTTCCATTTTTTTTACATTTACTTAATATGAAATAGATCTACCAATAAATACGACTAAAAACTTTCGAAATTAAAATAATACGAACCCAATTAGTAGTATTTATACGATATACGAACTCAATTAGTATTTATTCATAGATCAATTTTATAATATGTTAATTTAAAAGAAAAAAATTTGAAAAATATCAGTGCCATAGGCTTTTATTCCGTTCACCTGTTACACATTTTTTCCAGACGTTAAAAAACCCAGTATTTAGAAGTTTGAGTATGGACTTCCAATTATTGAATCAAACACACAGCAGTGGTACAATGATGCAAATGTACTTTATGCAATTTTTATTTTGATAATATTATACTATCCTGGCAATATTTTAACCCCTCAATCCCAATAAAAATCCCGAGCGGTCGCATGCGACCGCACCCACCCGCAGTACTTAAAACCATTAAAACTTATATTTAGAGACTACTTTTCTATGAAGAAGTTTGGAATTATAAAATCTATACAAAATACTCTATATAAAAGTCAGGTTTTACTTAATTAAAAAATACTATTGTATTTTGATAACAAAATATAAACATAACAAGCGAATGTCGGCAGCGTGAAAATCACAATTATTTAAATATATTATATTACTCGAAAATAATTACGTAAAAAGATAACTTATATTCAAAAAAAAAAACTTTTATTACAATTTTGTAATAAAACACTGTACTAAGATACTTATAAAACACCAGAAAAATCCAAAAATCAACACAATAATATCCACGCGAAAATGGCGTACGAAATGAACGTAGATTATAAATAAATATCCATAAAATAACTTGATTTATTATTGCACTAGAGGATAGAAAAGTTCACAATGATTTTTTTCATAGAAAAATAGTCTCTAAATATAAGTTTTAATGGTGTAAAGTGCTGTGGGTGTGCGCGGTCGAATCCGACCGCTTGGATTTTGACGGAATAGCGCCGCGGTCGGATTCAACCGCTTGGAGACTGAGAGGTTAATCTTTTCATTGATCTTGGAAGTAATTACCCTTAAAAAGAATGTATTAATGAACTGGCAAGGTCGTTTCGACTCGCATGTAAGAGTTTTAATGATTTAAATTCTCAGTATTCTGACTATTCATAATACGATTGTAATTGCAGGGGTTTCACCTTGGGGTGTTATTGTGAAATATTAATGAGTTTTATCGATTACGTGCTTCCATAATTTTATTCTCAATGCAACACTATACGCTGTTAAATTGCATTGTTTTAGATTTGCTATCTATTGTTCCTGAATTGACTTATTGAGTTTATTGTTTAATAGCAATCTACCTGGGCTTAGTCTGGGTAGGATTTTTTATTAATTATAACGATATACTTAATGTCCATGTAAATGTAATAAATATCTTATATAATTAAAAAATGTAATTGGTAAGATATGAAGGAAGTCGTTGGATGCAGATGGCTCAGGACCGTGTTTTGTGGCATTACTTGGGGGAGGCCTATGTTCAGCAGTGGACTTGTGAAGGGCTGTAATGATGATGATGATGATAACGAATGGGTCGGCTTGATCTGGTAAGGACCAAGCTCTGACAGAATACAAGCGCAAAATAGCAGCTTAATACTGGTGTGTTTCGTATGGTGAGTGTAGAGATCCAGAGACCTTTTTTACTGGAATCGAGGTATTCCATCTTAGTCCTGAGGGGTGACAACGCATCTGAGTTTTGTTTCTTAATCGAGGATAAATGTACATGTCTTTGTACAGTACATCCACTTACCATCAGGTGGACTGTGTGTTAGTTTGTCACCCTTATTATATAAAAAAAAACCGCAATTTATAAACCACACATAACGTGCTATGTAAAAAAAATATAAATGACCATGAAAAAATGATCAAGAGAACTTCCACCTATATAAGTCTACTGTTTAACATAGACTTTTTAATATAGACTTCTCCCATGAATTGCCTCATAGGAGGGATTCTGTCATAGTTGCCACGCTTGGCAGATGGGCTGACAACCGCAATTTTTTGTTATCAGAATGCTTTGCATGTTCTGTTTCAGTTTCCCTCTTGTCTTCTTGTCTATTATTATATCATCTACTTACCGAACGCTAGTGAGCTAGTGAGTGAGGTATTCTTACACCGCCACTACACGAGAAAATGAATTTAATATCTCGGTACCTGTATTTCGAAGAGCGAAATCAAGTAATGGAATATTTAACACTCATCAATATTTACAAAAATAAATGATATTCATTCTGTAAATACTAGAAACAGACAGAAGCTAGTAGTACCAGTTACTCGACTCTGTCGAGTCAGTAATTCATTCTTGGGGCGATATGTACGATTCTTCAAAAAATTCCAGACAATATACAATATTTGACCCTCATAAAGTTAAAAAAACTTTATTAAACTAAGTTTGTATAAAAAGGGTTTTATAATATTAAGCAATTTATGGATGACAATAACCCCTGGGAAAGGTAATCGCTACCAAGCTATTTCTATTTTATTTTGTGTTGTTAATTGTAACGTATATGATTGTAAGTTGTTAATATTTTTTTAAATCCCGCTGGGATTTTTGATGATTCTTTCTATGACAGAGGTTTTTTTTTCCAAACCTGTGGTAAATTAAAAAAAGTGGTATTCAATAAGTATTATGATATTATAATAATATTGAAGTAATATATTGAATCAAAAAGTTTCTCTTTCATTTCCACCAAAATTAGTTTTAGAAATTTTCACAACGAAATCTTGTGCTTGACATTAAATGAGAATAAATTTGATTGGAAGTAAATAATACCATAATTTTTGATGACCAAATTAATAACTTAATTTTATATTTTTAAATACTTAAAATCTAATTTAACACACGGGGCTCGAACTCGCGGCCCTCGGCGCCGCATTTTATTGCTAAGCCACTGCGCCACGCAGTCGTCAATAATTAATAATTTGTTGATTATAGTTTCCGTTACACAGTGGGTAAAAAATTTATTTGTATAAACAGTTCAAAAGGAAAGTATGCAGCGCTTAAAATTTTTGCCAACTTACATAATATACTTATTACATTACCATTTTTGAAAATATAAGAAAATGAATATTAATAAATAAATAAACGAACAATATATATATATATATATATATATATATATATATATATATATATATATATATATATATATATATATATATAAATAACGTTTATTAAACTTATTTTAACTTGTTTTTAATTCCCGACGTTTCAGGTGCTCTAGATCAGCCAAAAATTTTAAACAATTAAATTTCCAAAATTGAAGGTAGTCGGGCTAACTATGACATTGGGACGTCAAAACATATCAGTGCCCCGTGACCATGGGTGCTGTAAAGTACCTGAAACGTCGGAAATTAACGATAAAATCCGTATATATAGTTTTATTCAATGTGTAGTGTTCGCGTAAATTTAAGATATCGTTAGATATCGTTATAATTAATAAACGTCGTTATATCGTTATAATAATTAATGAAACATAATACAATTTATTACAGATATTGCCAAAATGGGAAGCGGTGAAGACTGGCACAATATCCTTCAAGTTTCGCACTAACGAACCGAACGGTTTGATTCTGTTCAACATGGGCGCGAAGCCACCAAGGGTAGGTTGCACGGTAAGGGGTGAAGCTTTTGGGGTTGAACCGACTACTAAGAGAAAGACATAATCAGTTTCGTTATCGAGACGGTTACCACTGCAAAATTCATATTCATCGATAAAATTTTCCATTGAAATCGTATAGGGGATTATTTTATTCCTATAACTTAAGGAATCTTATTCACTTAATATTTTAATAACTAAATTGACTTACTTTTAATATTTATTTAATATTAAACGAAACTCATTTTGCGTATTTTATCGCGCTTAATTTAGTTGAGTAAAGAAACCGTACCCGTCATAGCCCGGCTACATTCTGTTTTTGAATATTAAATTTTAAACGATTAAAACAGTAAAATTAGTTTCATTTATTGTGAGGTGATCGCGGAAATATATGAAATATTATTTATTTATTATTAAATAAATAAAAAGAGCTCTCTAAAACTAAACTGATATGAAATGAATGATTAAATGCCGTGAATGAGATTCTTTAAAAATAAAAAATAGCGCAATTTCTTATACGTTAAAAACGGTGGATAAGCTTCCTTTGTCATTTGCTTCACTGCTTTTATTTAAAAATATTAATGATGTTTAAATTAATAGTTGTTAATATCCACCGTTTATTCTGCATGGTAGGATAAATGAAGGAAGTGTCTTTGGTAAAGATAATCGTAATTCACAAAGTAGGGGAATTTGTGTATGGTACCTTATAAAGTTTCACCCACTTCAAAGTGTCAAGTGTTTTGTGTTATCTGTATCGATGTGCACTGTAGACCCCTCGCACAGATTAAAAATTCGACAACACCAGCACATAATAATGGCTACCGATAGACAAAAATATGCGTACACCGATTTGAAGCATTAGTTTGGAAGACTTTTTATTACCTACACAAATTCACACCACGTTTTTTTAATTATATATTTAGGCTATATTTAAATGTACGCTGTATTCACAAAATTTGATATAAATAGCTCCTTAGACATTATAAGTATAATATAGACATTATAAGTATAATTATGTACAGTATTTATTTTGTAGCGTAAGTAGCTCATATTTCGGTAGTTTTTTATTGCATTGCTTTCGTAACTTGCCTAATGTTAGTTCTTAGACAAGATATATTTTTGTAGATCTTTTTGATTTTGCATTGTATGCGTCCTATTTATATTATTTTATACCAACTCTGACTGTATTTTTTTATACGTGTTACCTCATAACTTTTCTCTGGATGAACCGATTTAGATGATTCTTTTTTTTTTTTGTCTAATTGCTATTGCTTTGCGTGTGGTCCCATATTAATTAAGATCTGAACCTTAGTTTTTGACTTATATTTAATTATGCGCATTAAATTGACTTCGAATACATTGATTCGGTCGTATTGATGTCAGGTGTACAATTTTTTTACCACTTGTTTCATATTGCAGTGTTATATATAATAGGTATAATGAAGCTGTTGGTACACAATTCTTGATTCATTTTATTACCTTTCATCCGATACTCAGCAACAATATCATATAATATCACCATAAAAAGAATTCATAAGGGTATATATTCAACACATACATACAACACACACACACACACACACACACACACACACACACACACACACACACACACACATACACACACACACACACACACACACACACACACACACACACACACACACACACACACACACACACAACTCTAAATTCGTACAATAATACAATAACAATCTGTCTGTAATATTTTATACTTTTATAATTTAATAACAAACTTTCTATTCGTTTTCACCTCAATCTCAATGTTATATACCCATTATTTGGAAGAGCGGTGCTTCACAGTACAAGCAAATCCTTTGCTTAAAAGGGAGCTCTAACCACAATATGATTTAATAGAATAAGTTATGGATTAAGTTATGGAATAATGAATTTGAATTTTAATTATAGTAAAGGCCATAGCCCATTTGTATGTAGTAGTTCACCTGTGTTGATATCACCCTGTTATCTGTTACAATCACCAAATATTACTGCACTCAAAGCTCTGTTAGCTTCATAGAATACTATAATACAAAATAGAAAGTGCTGTCAACCTTATTTTGTATGAGGATCGGTGTCGCCAGGAGCACACATAGAAGAAATTACGTCGTATTATCACTACCACAAACTCGGTTCGCTGTTTTGACAGACTGAGCCAATTTACACATTTTAGACTTTTGATTGATGTGTTTTTGACACATCAATATTTCTTTATTTTTGTTTCTAATATTTACAAAATATAAATAGTTTCGACTTACTGATTGTAGGATATGTTGTCTCCTTTATTTAAAATCCATTTCCCTCTGTTCTTTTGACACGTAATTATTGCACAATTTCCCATTTTTTAAATAATTTGCATGCAGCGACGTTTGACACGAAAATTGAAAACAATTGATTGTGTTGACACTTATAGATGTGGACTGACATGTAATATACATATTATGTTCTTTTTCTATTATGTATATAGTATTTTATAGTTAGCTTAAATGGGCGATAGATCTACTGTAATTATAGGCTGAGACGTTCCGTCTTAGTCTTTAGTTCTTACTACGTATTTGGATCTAAGTTTTTTGAAGCTGGTCGCAATTATCTTTAGGCTGCAGGAGCCACTTACCATTGTAGACGCTCAATTGATTCTGTTATTTAGTTATTGATTGTTAGCTTAGTACGTAAAAGTTTTAATTTCTGTTTCTTTTTTACCCCTCCTATTATCTTTGAATAGCTTTTCTAAAACAGAAGTAGTAAAATAAAATGTTGCATTCTAGGCGGATTTATTTGCTGTAGAAATGTTAAACGGCTACATCTACGTCCATGTCGATCTTGGGTCTGGTGGAGTGAGAGTAAGAGCCTCAAGGAGGAGAGTGGATGATTCTCATTGGCACGAGTTTCTACTTAGAAGAACTGGAAGAGATGGGAGGGTGACCGTAGATGGGGCAAATGCGGAGTTTAAAACACCTGGTATGTTTAATTTAAAAATAATATAGAGTAACAATCCGAATAGTTAAAACTGTAAGGAAAAATAACCTTACTAAATAAAGTAAAATAGGTATTAAAAAGAGAAAAAATGGAAATACTCTTTGTCAATGTCACGACCGAGTAGAATCTAGCGATATCTCATGTATTAAAATCCATCAAGTCGTTTGAAGTACAGAGTGTGCCAATTAAACTGATGATATATACTGATATTCTATTCCAGTAATAGGGTATCTGTATTTTGATTTATGACTTTCTGCTCGATTATCACCAACAACTTTAAAAAATAATAAGAATTGTAATCGATCAAAATAGTTCAATTTATTCTCATGCTTTGATTTTATTACAGGCGAATCAAACCAACTTGAGCTTGATGGGCCGTTATTCGTTGGTGGTTTGGGCTCTGAGTATTCGGCATCGAGAACTCCACCGGCCTTATGGACTGCAGCGTTGAGGCAAGGGTTTGTTGGCTGTATTCGGGATTTAGTTTTGAATGGGAAACCTCAGGACTTAACAGCATATGCTCGACAACAGGATTCTGGTAAGGCTTTTGATATTGATAATTATTTACTATCTTTCAAATATTTTTTAGGATTTTACTGTTATACAGTTTATGAAGTAGAGCCAATTTTTAATTAGGTATAATAGTGTTGCGCTCTACTACTAATGCCTGGTACGTGGCGAAACTAGTTACCACTAGCGCTTTCTAGTATCGAGTAGCAGAACTAGAAGAGTTAAGATCCTACTAGAAATTTCCATGGAAGTACTTTCTGGAACTATCAACACCTATTTATTTGGGACCAATATGTACTCGAACATTCTATATGTTTCTAAAGTAGAAGGTTCTGGAATTATCTGATGCCCTACTCGTATATAGATAGGCCGATATAGACCGCGACTCGATTAAGTGTCGATAGTTCTAGAAAACTCCTGCATAGAAATTTCTAGAAGGATCTTGACTCTCCTAGTTCTGCTACTCGATACTAGAAGGCACTAGTGGTAAACAGTGTCGCCTTGTACCGGGCATTAATAGTGGCGCGCAACAAGAGTATTAGGTACATTAGTAGGAATAGATTCGCTCGACTGGGGAAAAGATCATGTTCCTAAAAATACGGCATACAGCAGCTTAATGCTGAGTGTTTTTTAAAGTGATGAGAAGACGATATCATTGTTATTTTTACTTCTACGCAATTTTATGCATTGCTTTATGCATGCTTCTGCAAAAAACCCAAGCATCGCTTCTAAAAGGCTCTATGTAGTTGTTTATGGACCACAACATTCAACTACCATCGCTTAAAGCTGTATACTGTCGTTTAGTTTGTCAATCCTAACTTTTCAAGTTTTTGCCAAAATTTGACATGTTTCAGATTCAAGATAAGAATTCTATATCACGGCTATGATTAAGCGATAGTGTTTTTTTTAATTCAGCATCAGTGCGTCCAGCATGTCACGTACTGATGAAGCAGTGCGTGAGCTCACCATGTCAGCACGGAGGCGTGTGTTCCGAGGGCTGGAACAGACCGCTGTGTGATTGCTCTGCCACAAACTACGGAGGGCCAACTTGCGGAAGAGGTTTGTTGTTTTTATTGACTTCAGAAAGGAGGAATTGATTTGACTGTTTATTTTTTATGTGTTTTGCCTCATAATTTTTCTCTGGATGAACCGATTTTGATGATTCTCTTATATCTGAAAGCTGGTGTTTTTTTGTGGTCACATATAAATTTAATTAAGATTTGAATAGTAGTTTTTGAGTTATATAATGCTTATTTAATTGACTTCGAATACATTGATTCGGTCGTATTGAAGTCGGTTGTACAATTTTTTTAATTTTACTACTTGTATAATAAGATAAACACTTCATTTATTTTGCTGACTTCTCAGTTTTTCAAGCGAGAATTTAAAGAGTGTATGGTTGCTCGTATGTATGTTGTATGTGTGTTTGTATCTACCTAAATCTCTACTTAATATATTACTTTATTTAATGATTATTACATCATCGGAAGTTAAGATTCATCTTAACTTCCAATGATGTAATAATCATTGGTATAATAATCATAATTAACACATAATACTGATGCTAATTAAACAAAAGTTTGTATTATAGTAAAAGGAATTTGTTAAAAAAATTAACCGATAAACTTTAATGTTGCTCGAAGTTGAGCTCAAAGCAAGCCTGGCGCCTACATAAAGAAAGAAATGTGCATGCGTCTCGCCCGCTCTTTCGACTTTCATTCTCTAGCGATCGTAGCGTACGCTGCGCCGTTTTAAATAATATCACCTGTTATTAGTTTTACGGAAACGCCGTAGAATAAATTGTTTTTATTTATTTTTTTGGATATTCGGAAATTTTGCCTATCTAGTTACATTTTGTTATATTCCACAAATACGTTCGATGATAGCACTTACACAAACACCATATTATTTTCCAGACGGTAAAAATAGTCAGTCACACAGTATTATGATTAATGAAAGTTATGAAGTTAGCGTAAAGGTATAATCATTTTTAACACACAGTTTTTTTTAATAATATATTTGTTAATAAAAAAGTAAATTGTTTATCTGTAAAGTCGGTTAACGAACGATAGTTTAACGTGACAACGTCATAACAAAACATTGATGAAATGATTGCATACTTTGCGGAAAAGAGATAGATGCGGCGCAAGCCGAACGCTAGGGCCGACGTGCCTTACGCTCGCTCGTGCAGCGCTCTCGCTCCGGTCGTAACATTTCAATGAGTTAACGTCGTAACGGTCGTAACGTTACAAAGAGTCATGTTTTGTGTACGTGCAGCCAGCGTTCATCGATTTATTAGACGTTGTTACGTAAAAAATGTACCCACCGTTAATCTTCTTCAACTCGTAAGCAGTCCGCTTTCTCACCGTTTTCCTCTTTGTATAATGGCCGTTATGTCACATTTTTAATTGATTATTATTTTTTTTCAGAATCAGCAACAATTTACCTGAACGGCAGTCAGCATCTCACTACAACGTTAGGACCGGAGCACGTCACGCAAACAGAAGAGCTGATGTTACGATTTCGGACAAGTAAAGCGGGATTACTACTGAGGACATCAACCGAAAACTCTGGTGACAGGATTGAACTCGCGGTGGCTGCTGGGAGAGTACGCGCCAGTGTGAAACTGGGTGAGAGAGAAAAGGTATGGAATATGAGAAAGGTGGTATAAGAGAAAGGATGTGACACTTTTGTACCGTTAAATATAGGTACCGAAAATAATATTGAACATAGCAGAATAGTGTCTGATATATTGAATATACTGTCATAATTCAGAAAATACGCTTGCAAGGTCTTAGTTTTCAGATAACTTAAAAAAAGAAGGAGTAAAGAGTGACAAACGAGCACACAGTCCACCTGATGGTGAGTGGTTGCTGTGGCCCATAGAAATCTACACCTTTCCTCGACTACGAATCAACATGCAGATGCGTTGTCACCCGTGAGGGCTACGATGGAATGCCTCGTTTTCAGTAAAAAGGTTCTATACACTCACCATACGAAACAGCTACTATTTTACGCTGGTATTCTTTGAGAGCGTGGTCCTACCGCGGTCGAGCCGACCCATTCATGCTATAACTATACTACTAATATAACTGCAGCATGGCTCTACCACGTATAAGCCACTTTGCTTTCCCACAAGCTGTTTTTTATATAGGATAAGGGTGACAAACGAGCACACAGTCCACTTGATGGAAAGTGGATGCTGTGGCTCATACACTTCTATATTTAAACTGGATTAAGAATCAAAATGCAGATGCGTTGTCACCCTTGAGTACTAAGATGGGATGCCTCGATTCCAGTAAAACAGGTCTCCAGTTCTCTACACTCACCATAAGAAACACAGCAGCATTCAGCTGATATTTTACGCTGGTATTCTATGAAAGCGTGGTCCTTCCCCGGTCGACCAGTCATGCTAGAACCATAATATAGCTGGAGCGTGGTTCTACCACGTGTAAAACGATGAAAACCACGTATAAACTGTATACCATAATATAACTATACACGTATAACCACGTATAAAATGATGTAAAGCAGCATTGCCAGTATCATGATTTCGGATCTACAACAAGCAATCCACCTGCGCAGCGTTTTTATAGTTGTTAAATCCTTAAAAACTGTGTATTCATGTATTATTGTAACTATATCCAGCTGTCAATTCAAGGACAATAAAAAGAAGAAATTTCCCGGGTTTAATTTTTTCTCATGTTTGGTTCTAGAATCTTCTCGCCGGTTCTAACGTGGCAGATGATAACTGGCACACAGTTCGTTTCTCCCGGCGTGCGTCTAATCTGAAGCTGCAGGTAGACGGGGGCCAGGCCGTCCGCGGTACGTTATGTACGTATGCACGGGACCGCACCCGCACAGTTTTGTTTGAACCTTAAGTAGAAGGACATAAGGTTAGTTTTGGTTACGCTTTGGAAACCGCGAAAAAAATTGACTAAACGTGAATAATACAGAACATTTTTCAAGAATCCTGTCCCATTGCTGCTTGAAAAAGCACTAAATGACTTTTCTGGAACTCAGCAATACAAAGATGTGTAGATTTAGTTTCTTCTCCTTTGCCTCTGCAATTCTTACTAATGCCCACACATAACAAACATATGGGTAGTAACTTATTAAATCCGGAGGAATAAAAACACCTCACAGCTAAGCAAACTTTTCGAAAAGTTATAGACAAAGCAGCGATCACAATAGATTATACTAGTCAAGTTTATACTGATGTAATAAGGTCTGAATATCAACCAAATAAAAAAATTCAAACATTCGTCAAGAAATTTATAATAAGGCAAAATCGCAGCGCCCATTTTATTGAGAATTAGTTTCAACATTTAGCAGTGTTCCTACACATTGCTGTAACGTAGGTATTTTATTTTTGAAATTCAAAATGTTTATTATGATTAATAAAATAATTAATTATTACGACATACTTCAATATTCACGAAGCACACGAAAGCATACCATTCCTAACATTTTTATACTGTTTATATTATTTGAAAATCAAGATAATTTAATAAAATATTAATATTTACTTTAAAATATATACCGATAATGAACTTGAGAATTGAACAAAGCGCAACCAATTACAAAAATAAAGAAAATAACAATTTGTTGTTGAAAGATCAGGCAGATTATTTAATGGTCTAACATTGCCTGGGTTAAATGTTAGTTGTCCTGTTAGTCGTAGTGTAGTCGCTTTTTTGTCTGTTTGTAGCTCGCACTTCGTATCTTCACCTTTTATTTCAGAATGCTTTCATTTGTTATCTTCATTTTCTTTAATTTCCTTTTTCTGTAGCATCCTTCGTGAATGTGCAATTATAAATATTAAAATGGATTCATATTCTGTTCTTATATTTCGCTCTCTGTATTTGTGTCGAGATATTTTTCCATTTTAAGAAAAACAAGCTTTTTGTAATTTTTATAAAGCGTTGGGAACAGATTTTGAATCTATTGCTAAGTAAAGTTATATATTAATAAAATATCTTATTTTTATACGGTTAAAATAACATAATATATTTGTTTCAACACTCTATACAAAAAAGTATAAAATAACGAACACACTATATAAATATAACAATACTATACAAAACCGGGGTATTAAGGTGTTGTTGCTCATAGAAAATATTTTTTTATTTTGTTTGAGTTAATTTATTTATAGCAACCCTACCGGTTGGAATAATTGACAAAATAATGAAAATACTTTTTTTAGGCATTTGTAGATTGTATTCTTTCTTCAGTTGGAAGTTATTTGAATTGGTTTAAGAAGTAATTTAAAAAACTCGACTGTCTAAAAAATGTCTTTAAAAAAAGCAAAATTCGAATATATCTTATTTCATTTTTACAAATAAGACGAACTTAATAAAGCCACATGGAGCTACAATCCATAAAACCGTTAATGCTACAGAGCCTGCTAAAGAAATAGATAACATATATACATACATACAGACATACACTCGAAAAATAATACCTTACTTTTAGAGTAAAATGATTTCAAATAATATTCTTATGAATTCTCCAGATTATAGTTTTACCCATGAGAATGTACGTAATTTGTTACATCAAAACATAAATTTAACCATTGAAAAGGTTTGAAATAGTTGATAATTGGCATAAATGAATCATATTTATAATTTTTTTATCATTAAAAGACAAAAGTAATAGGGCATATTTAAACGCAACATTCGACTTACAAGTTAGAGAAGTAATTTGTTGATTATATTTTAGCAATGTTTAGGATTTGGAATATTTGTTCCAATAAATAGTTATAATGAGATATACTAACTACAAACAACAAACTCTTCATTTTAATAAACGATTTAGAAAATAGTTTTTCAACTTTCAATAATATATTTATTCGTAAATTAAATGGAATAACTTTTTAATCAATATAGATTATCAGCAATTCTTATTGAAAGGCATTTCTTTACTTGTACCCCTGGTTCGGAATGAACCTTTGTCCTAGGAAGTAACAGCCAGGAACCCAGAGGGACTTTTTTCTTCAAAGTAGATTATACAATAAGAACACAGATTGTAGAAACTACTTACAAAACTTTGCAACAAAACACAAAACAAAACAGCTTGGAAGCGACAACCTCATTCCACGGGGTTATTATGAATTATATATTCATTTATATTATAAACTTATATATGAAACGGTAATTTTTTATAATTTAATGGCTAATCGATGTTATTGTTAAATATTTAAATTTGCCTTAGTATTAAGCTATTTTTAGCTCTTTCAAGCTAAGCTCTTGTAACATTCTTCTATGCTAATACTGTTATGTATTGTAAATAACTTTATAAAATATCGCTAATGGAAAAAATATGAAGTGTTTTGTTTGCTAACTTATTTTGATTTAAAAGTCAATGTTGTGTTTAAATGTATAAAATTTTAATGGAACAGTTTGATTATTTATTGTGATTTGTTTTGCAGCTGAAACGATTTTAGGTAAAGCATCCACTTTAGAGATAATGACCTTACATTTGGGTGGCATGTTTCATCCGGAGGAAGAAATACAAATGACTTCAACATTACCAAATTTCGTTGGATACCTTCAAAAATTTGTTTTTAATGGCATAAGATATATAGATCTGGCAAAAACTCTCGGAAGTGGGAGTACAGGTGAAAATAACAATATTTATGATACATCACATATAGTATTCAACGGAAAATTTGTCAAACCTGATTCTCTGAACGTGTATAAGTCTGTAACATTCAAGTCTAAACATACATATGTTGGTTTGCCACTGCTAAAAGCATATGCGAATACATATTTAGATTTCTACTTTCGTACGACGGAAATGGATGGTTTATTATTTTATAACGGTGGAAAGAAACAAGATTTCATAGCGGTAGAACTGGTAAATGGTCATATTCATTGTGTTTTTAACCTTGGCGATGGAGTGGTTACAATGAAAGACAAACTGAAGAACTTTTTGAACGATAATCGATGGCATACTGTGTCTATTAGAAGACCGACACCGCAGGTACATGCACTGCAAGTAGATGATGATTTGGAAATGCATACTACAAGTACGTATTTAGTAATTTATTTTGACACATACTCTCTTTGTGACAAAATATTATTTTGCTAACTTGTATATATATGTTTTAGGTTCAAATCTCATGCTTGAACTAGACAGCGTTTTGTACGTTGGAGGAGTACCAAAGGATATGTACACAGCTTTACCAGTAGGTGTGTTATCGCGTCAGGGTTTTGAAGGGTGTATGTCTAGTTTAGACTTGCCTGGAGAGTCGCCTTCGCTTATAGAAGATGCTGTTGTTCCTAGTTCTTCTTTGGTCTCTGGATGTGAAGGTGAGATTTTTTAATAATTAGGATTAATTAGTTTCACGAGCATTTTCATTTTGTGCAAATTAATTTTATACAGATATTTTTGTTTTTCTGACTATCCAAATTTGACTTTATGAATATTACCATTTCGTAAGTTTTCAATACAGTAATATTTTTTCTAATTATTGAAACTTGTTTATTTACCAAGAGTTCCAAATTTTATACTTAGTTTCCAAAGAAATAGGTTTTAAAGTAAGGAAACCAATATGTTATATAGAATATTAATATTAATTTTTATTTATTTTATATCTCTCTCTTTTATTTCTCTCAATTTATTTCTTTCTCTCTCCATATCTCTCTCCACTGCTAAATATAAGTATATCTATTATATAGAAAAATAATATAAATTTTTATTTATTTTATATATCTCTCTTTTCTTCTTCTCAATCTAAATATAAGCTTTCTCGAGCAAGTACCCAATAATATGCTTAACTTGATTTTTCAATCTTCGACTCACACTGGCGGTGCTACCCAACCAATTTGTCGGATTAAGGTTTATTATTTTTAAGTAGATATGCCATAATTTGTTGATCGCCAGAGCCGCGTTAATTAATTAGAGGGATTCAGCACGGGCAGATGTTGAAGAAGTTGTTATATCTCCTTTACAACCAAGATTTGTTAAAATTATTTGTTGTCTAAATATTTTCAGGCCCGACTAAATGCACTCACAACGCGTGTGCAAACAAAGGCGTGTGTGTGCAACAGTGGAACACTTATGTTTGCGATTGTGATCTCACCTCTTTCACTGGACCAACGTGTTATGACGGTGGGTGATTTCAAATTATATACCTTGCCTTCAACTTTATTTTTAATTACATTAATTTTAATTTTGCGTATTAATTAAAAGGTATTAATGAGAAGGTAATATAGAAAGATCAGGCGCAGGACCAACGGATTTACGTGCTTTCCGAGGCACGGGGATGAGACGCCGCCAACTTCCTGACTCCGGGCAGCTACTGAGTATTTTTTGACGGAAAAACTCAATAATTGATTTTGGTCCGACCCGGGATTCGAACCCAGGACCTCATGATCAGCAGCCATACTACTACAACCACTAGACCAAAGAGCATTGCTAGTATTAAAAAATATAATTTTAATAGAATCGATTCTGTAAGATTTTTTTAATTTAGTATGTGTGTAAGTCTGTAAACAGTAACTGTTGTTGTTTCAGAATCGATAGCGTACGAGTTCGGTCCGGGGCGCGGCATCGTGACCTACACATTTCCATCGAGCAACGTCGTCGACACGGAGACGGACCGGGTGGCCGTCGGTTTCGTCACCAGCAAAGCGGACGCCGTGCTACTGCGAATCGACTCGTCCAACACCCAGGATTACATACAGATGGAAATTGTAAGCATAATGTTGGCCCACAATATTTTTAAAATTGACTCTTAAATTTGCTTTCTTCTTGGTTATAAGGATTAATCCCACATTTAAATAAAACTAGTTTTTACAGATTTTTTCGAGTATATTAACTTATTTTATATTCCAGACATTTCGAACAGTTTACAATTCCCATGGCCACGGGATCTGAGATGTTTGACGTCCCAATGTCATAGTTAACCGCGACTAACACCAGATTAAAATTATTAATTTTTGTTCCAATCCACGCAGTATGAACTTACAGTATCTTGAAGTCTTGCAGTTGTATGCTTGGGTTGGGATTTAATTTTATTAATTATAGGATCCGAAGTAGATGGTAGCACCGAGACATTTTCTGTATTGAAATAAGGATGGTTTTTGATTTCAATAGCTTCGCGAATTATCCTTGGCGGGAATCTGTGTTTTTTAGCGAAGACTTTCAAATCTGATGTAGTGGTGGGGGTGATCCCGTGCATGTTCACAGACTGCAGACTTCTCAGATCATCGGTTCTTCATATCAGCTATATTTTATTCTTTAACGCGGGGTTTATTGTTCTTTTGGGATCTCCAATATAGAAGAGACCACATCATAGATATATTTTTTATATTTCTATGGACCATATTCACACTCACACACACATACGTTTGTACACTCCTGCATCTTGCAGAGGGATATTACACTAAACTGATGGTAAAAACTGACTAATCTTTTTCGACAGCTTGAAGTATGTTCTAGTGAAGGCATGCTTCAAGATGTAGTCAATTTTGTCAGTGACACGCAAGACTTCACGATACTATATTTCAATCTGCGTCGATCGAAATAAAAACTAACAATTTTATTTGGAGGTAGCCGTGGTTAACTATGACATCGGGATGTCAAACATCTCAGACCCCAACCCCCCTCCTTGACCATGAACACTGTAAAGTTTTCGAAACGTCGAGAATACAAAATAAGTTAATATACGCGTTAAAATCCGTAAAATTAGTTTTATTTATATTCATCACTCCATTTCATCCTGTATATGTCATCTATAGAAAGTGCCAGAGGGATCTTCTCGCATAGGTAACTACTTACCTCGTCTTTGCCAGACATAAAAGACTCAGGCCGACAAAGGGAAGAGCATCCTAACATTACAGAAATGTTGGTAATAATATTTTTGCCTACGGTAATTTAGAAATCATTCATATATACAAACAGCCTTTCGCAAGTCCACTGCTGAACAAGACCTCTGACCTGAGCAAGCTGCATCTATCGACTTCTGCAAGTCTTCCCAGGCGGTCACTCCATCAAGTGGGGGCCTCCCAACATTTCGCTTACAGGTACAAGACTCCCATCTGAGAACTTTTTTTCCTCATAAATAGTCGGTTCTCCATGCTATATGACCGGCACATTGCCTCTTAAATTTACTGATCCGTTGAGCTATCTATGTCTCTTAATTTGGTCTAAACTACCGCGGCTCGTGTACAAAACGAAACATATGAGAAAAAAACAACTATGAACGTATTCCCAGATCCGAGGAAATCTCTTCATGGTATACAATGTGGGTGGTGGCGACCATCCACTGGGTGACGAGGCGGCACGTGTAGACGACGGCGCTTACCACGTCGCTAGGTTTACCAGAAATGGCAGCAGGGCTGCCTTACAACTTGATAACTACGCCGTGAATATTCGACATCCTCAAGGTACCAGTAACACTCCTCAGTACCACTTTTATGTAAACATAGTGAATTTTTTCTGGGAAGAAGTATGAACATTTAGAGTCCATTACTGCATTTCGTTCCGTGGGTTTCGTAAAAGATGTCTACGGGGAATCCCATAAAAAGCTTAAACCTTTTATCAAACTATTTACAATGGGAGATGACGATGTCCAGAAGTATACCTTTATTGGATGATAAAGAAGATTAATGAGAAGAAGGAGACAGTGATATTGTATTTATAGGATTGGGTGACGCAAATGAGCACACAGTCCACCTGATGGTAAGTGGTTGCTGTGGCACATAGACATCTACATCTATCTTCGATTACGAATCAAAATGCAGATGCGTTGTCACCCGTGAGGACTGAGATCGAATGCCTTATTTCCAGTAAAAAGGGTTTCTGGTTCTCTAAACTGACCATACAAAACATAGCAGCATTAAGCTACTATTTTACGCTGATATTCTGTGAGAGCGTGGTCCCTCCCCGGGCGAGCCGGTACATTCGTGCTACAACTATAATATAGCTGCAGCGTGGCTCTACCACGTCTTAAAAACATACCGCAGATATACTTTTCTGTTGTTTGTTTTTCTTAGATAATGGTGCAATATGCTATGTAGGTATTAAAAATGAAATGGAAGAAACAAATTATATAACTTTAAAGACACAAAGGTATTTCCTGTCCACCTGATATTAAATGGGTGCGTTTGGCAGAAAAAAGCGCTAGCAAGCGCTTACATGCGCTAAAATAGTTTTCGGCCAGGACACGATTGCTACTTCAGTAGCGCTGACACAATCCGCCATTTTGCTTATTTATTTTGTTTGTTTTGAAGTGGAGTTTATAAGTCGTTCTGTGCAATATTAGTTTTAAGTAATATAATGACATGAATAAACATATACATGTTATTAAAAAATTCATGATTGGTAAGTTTTTAATATGAATACTTTACAAACATATATTTAAATTAGGTTGGGTTCCCCGGTTAAAACTAACTTCGTGTCCTAGAGGAAAATAGCTACTTACGATTTGACAGCGCTTACCGCTTACGATCGCCATTTTGCTTACAAGCGCTTGCTAGCGCTTTTTTCTGCCAAACGCACCCAATGGCTACTGCAGACTGTGTACACTTGTAATAAACTTCAGGCATACTAATACAGATAAAAGTACATTACGTATGCTGACTAAGATGAAATGAATGCTTTAGAATATTTATAGCTGAAGTTACCACGAGCTACCCCGAGGTCCAAAACGTCGGTATTAAAATAAGTTAATTTAAATGCGATGATATACATAAAATTAGTTTTATACAATATAAAATATTTGTGTAAACATAAGAAATCTTTATGAATGATTTTTTCAGGCGGACAAAAATCGACTGTTTTCAACAGCATGTCAACAATAACAGTGGGTGGGGGAAGTAGAGGTTCTAGAACTTTCAGTGGGGTTTTAGCAGGTCTTGTCGTCAACGGTGTTAGGGTATTGGATCTAGCCGCCGCTGGGGACCCATCAGTAACTATAAGAGGTGATGCGAGAAGAGCGCACTCTCCGTTAGACAGAGATATCAATAGAATGCAACAGGTAACTACCATATTTTATGCAATTACAAGCAAGACTATTGGACTATATTTTAATAAATTTTACCTTGTTTATAAAAAATTATGTGCATTACAGTTTTACAATGTTTTTAGATGTAACTATTGATCCGAAAGCAGGACGAATATTATATTAAGCTCTCGCTGTTATTCCCAGTACGCAAGCAACTTGGTTAGAACGACTTTGGCAGCAATGAAATTGTTAATTTGTGATTTTCAGTGTTGATTTGCCGGGTATTTGGCGGTGAAGGTAAACACCCTTTAGAAACTTGAATGTCTCAGAAATAACATATTTCGATGACATGTTAAGTCGACAAACCTGAACTAGAGCAGCACGGTGATTTACTGTTCCATGACTTTTAGTAATGAGAGTCCTGTCAATGTCAACGTCCTGAAATAACAGGCTTTAAATTTAAATCACATATTTTTAAAGTTTCATAAATTTTTAAAGTGTATACCATGCGTTCAAAAACATTTTTAAGCTTTTTGTCAAAACGACTGTGCATTTCTGGAAATGTAGGAGCGACCAACGAGCACAAAATTCATCCTGTGACGTGACAAAACGATGTCTACTTCTAGCCTCGATTAAGATTTGATATTCACTTATTAATAAGTGGTTATTCTCTTAAGTCTTGCTTTTGCGAACCGGTGCAGATTATGACGTTTATGAAAGCTTCGAAAAAAGCCTAAATTTAATAAAAGTTTTAAACATGACTTTTTTAGCCTTTACTTTATCTTTGACTTTAAGTTTGATCAAGGGTTTTATTTTGACTTTAGCTTTTACTTGTACTTTGAATTTAGTAATAATAATAACAATCTATTTTTGCAAGAATATGGATTCAACAACAGTGTTCAAGTTTAATTATAATATATTACATATTCTATCTTAGTAAATAATTGATGGACAAGTAGCTATCATAGCAATTTTTATCAAATTTTTAACAACATATAAATTACATAACATACATAAACACTCACGCCTGTCACCCAGACGGGTAGGCAGAGACTACGGACTTCCATTTGGCATACCTCCTGACACACCTCTTTCGCCTTCTTTACATCCATATGTCTACGCATACATGCTCGTCGGTTAAGGTTCTTCTAACGTGGTTCATTTTTAAAATATCGCCAATTTTGTCGATAAACTTTCTTCTAGGGCGTCTCTTCCAGACTCTGCCGTTCACAACTGCCATATAAATTTACTTTTTCAGTCTTTCCTTATTTATTCTTTTTACATGACCAAACCACCGAGACATTCCTTTCCTAATACTGGTCACAGCATCATCTTGCATACCACATTTTTCTCTTATGACACAATTTCTCACCCTGTCATTTATTCTACTTTCGTGCTTCTTCTGCCATATCAATATAAGATTATAATTAATATTCATTGGTCAATCATTATGTAATGTCAATTATAAACGTTACATATTATCTAGTATGTATTAAGTATAAAGTTTGAGTTCTAATAATGTCGCGTGCTGTGGAGACGCAGCCGTCGGGGTACGGTATTGGCGCGCTGGACGAGTTTGTGTACTTTGGCGCGGGATTTTGACTTTAGCCTTTACTTTGAATTTGATTTCAGCTTTTATTTTGACTTTAGCTTTGACTTTGACGTAGAGTTTCAATGACGTGATCGCGTACTGTGCAGACGCCGCCGTCAGGGTACGGCGGCGGTGCGCTGGACGAGCTGGTGTACTCGGGCGCGGGGTCGGGCTGCCGCGACGACGATGAGGACGCGTGCGTGCTGCCCGACGCCGGCTCCGGCGACGACCTCATCACGCCCGTCTACGTACCCGCCACGCGCCGCCCACCCGCCAAGTTGCACAAGGTGAGTGTTGTCGTCGCTGACCATTGGTAGATTAGAATTTTTGCTGACTTCAAGAAGGAGAAGTTTCTCGATATAACTTTCTTGTATGTATGGTACGTGGATGTTCGTCAATCGTGAACCGATTTTATTGATTATTTCTATTAAATACTGTCGGCGCCGTTACGACAGCACCGCCGGTGTTCGCTGGGAGTACGAGAAGGGCGGGGGGTCTTTCTCACCACCGCGCCTAAGGCCGTCACTCGCCGATAGCTCGCGACAAGATCACCACCAAATTAGTTTATATTTTGATAATTTTAAATAAACAATTTGCCTAACGTGTGAGTCGCCTATTTTTTCGTGTTCCCTAATTGAACAAATACGTTATAATTCCAGGATGGTCCCATAAATTCTCAACATTCATTAACAAAATACATCAACTATAAGAATCTCAACTTTAAAAAATTGAGGTTGTTATATTTCTTATTCAAAATAGTAAAAAAGTAATCTTAATATAAAGTAAAGGCTGGCTTAGAAAACTTTAAAAAGACACACATTTTTATTTCTTATTTTTATGTCTTAGGGAGCACAAAACATTTTACTCTATTTCCTTAAAATTAGCCATATGTTTTTGTATATATTATACAAGATATCTTCGATAATTGTAAATCGATTTATATGATTCCTTTTCTAAATAACTTGGCTAAGTCTTGTTTGTGGAAAAAATAAACCATCTCCTCGTGTCCTGCTATTATGGTAATGCAAAATTGCAAATGACGTTAACGAAGAAACAAGCTTCAGAAGCTATAGTCAACCAAATCTAATAACTTTTTGACAGCTGTCAGACTTATTGCACCAAGCATGCCAACAAAAAAATGGGAACGTATAATATTCGATTCTTAAAAAAATCGATATCGATTATTTAGACTTGGTAATAATTTGCAGTTTGGTTTGAATAATACTAGAATAAATTAAAACTGATAATTTAAAACACAAGATTTATCAGTTTCTTCGTATTTGTTGTTACTGCTTATTTCTAGGTGCACAGTTATAAAAATTTGAGATTGAAACTAGATTACAAATAAATTTATTCAATAACTTTCAGTACAGCTTGTTGAGCTGTCGTTGTTTAATAAAAAATAAAAATATAAATTTCTTTGCAACTTTCCGCTAAACATATAAAATGATGTGTCTTACCTGGATTGAAGCGCACCTCCCGCCCTCCCTCAATTGCATACACTAACTCCGTCACCACTAGACCAAGCACCACTACTCTCAACACCACTATTCCAGGCAAGACACACCATCGACGATAATACGACACGTGTTTCGCCTCTACACGAGGCATCCTCAGGTAATATAGACTCTACGGCGGCTGACCGCTAAGTGAGCGGCGAGTCGAAACAGTTGCTATTTATACACGCTGACACAATCGCTCCCTACCAAAGTAGCGAGTGACCGCGTCGTGCGATAACAAACCTGTCAACAGTTATTATTATTGTTATGATTATTTTTAAATACTATTATTATTATTGTTTTGAGTGACCGCGCCGTGCGATAACAAATCTGCTACTAATTATTATTATTGTTATGATTAATATTTTAAATACTATTATTATTATTGTTTTATTGATATTATTATAATTATTTATTATTATTAATCTTAAAATTATTATTAAAGATTGGCCTTAAAGATGTTTAACAAAGGTGAATTAGAAACATTTGTTTGTTCATTCAGCAGTGTATAATTACCATTATTACTTTTTAAAATCTCCAACTGCTCCAGCACACACAGTCGCAGCCCCTTATTACAGGTATGTAAGACTTCAAAGGAATGGTCGCTAGCTAGGTTGTGTCCAGTGTCCAAGAGATGTTTAGCAAAATGGGATTTATCAGGATTGCAATTTCTGTACGCGGCCATATGTTCTTTATAGCGCGTCCCGAAATTGCGACCAGTCTGACCCACGTAAACGGCGTGGCATTCGTCACAAACAAGTTTATAAACACCCGATTTTTGACTAATATTTAACTTATCTTTATTATTACAAATATTTCTAAGTGAATTGTTTGTTTTGAATGCCACGTTAACGCCGTTTTTCTTAAGACTATTAGCTATTTTTTCCGATATGGGGCCTAAGTAGGTCAAACTACCCACATACCGCCGGACACTTTGAGATCGAACCGCGTACAAAGAATTGCGAACAACATGCTTTTGTTTCTTTTTAATAAGATTATCAACGAGACTTTTTGAAAAACCGTTAGAGACCGCAATTTGATAAATTATATTAAGTTCTTTTAAATAATTTTCTTTATTTAATGGAACAGTGGACAGACGGTTAATGTAACAATAAAAAAGCGGCTAATTTATGTTGCCATGGATGACACGATGATGCGGGGATGACCGTGTCGGTATGAGTTGGCTTTCGATAAATTTGAAAAACATGTAACGACTCTTTTCTTGTTATTGTTAAATCAAGGAAATTAAGGGAGCCATCTTGTTCCAATTCAAGCTTAAATTAAATTTTTTTCGTGGACTCTATTTATTTTATTAAGGAAAACATCCAGTTGTCTCCTTGTGCCTGTCCAGCAAATAATTATGTCGTCTACATATCGATAATAGTATAAGATATTTTGGTTAACAACTATATGTTGTTTTTCGAAATCATCCATGAAAATGTCCGCCATAAGTGGACTTAGAGGGGACCCCATAGCTAACCCTTCTTTTTGTAGATAGAAACGGTTATTAACCGGAAATAATTTTGTTTCATACAGAGAGAGGTTAAATTAAGAAGATCATTTGTTTCCCCGGGATGCAGACGACGTTTTTTAAAGAGATCTGAGAGTATACGCAAACAGTCAGGGAATGGGACGTTTGTGAAAAGACTATCAACGTCTAAAGACAACAACATAGATTTAGGTGGAATACGAATGTCTTTTATTTTGGAAATAAGTTCTAAACTATTTTTAAGGCTGTAAGTGGGATTGAAACCAGATTTCTCCCGAAGGAGGAAGTTTAATTTTTTAGCAAGGAAATAAGCTGGTGCACCTATATATGAGACAACTGGACGAATAGGAACATGTTCTTTATGTAATTTAGGTAACCCATATAAAGTGGGTGCTTGAGGATTCATTGGAACAAGATTGCTCCGAGACAAGTTGTGATCGGGAAAAACATATGACGACTTTTGTATACATACTTTAATATCCGAAGTAAACTTTTTGGTTGGATCAGACTCTAACAGCTGAAAGTCGTCACCTTGGATAACATCGTTAACCTTCTGGCTATACCCGCTACTCTCCATAATGACAACAGTATTTCCCTTGTCGGCCTTAGTAACAATAAGGTTATTGTCTTTTATTCTATGTTTTAGTGACATAAAAATGGGGAACTCAGGATTGCAATGGGAAGATGCGGGTGCCTCCTGAATTTCTTTAGCTAACAAACTTTTAACGATGTTATCTTTCCTCCCGATCACAACAGCCACCTCCGCGTCAACGGCTACAGTCTCTAACGATCTTTGGGAGACCGAAGGTGTTAAATTATACTTTAGGCCTTTGTGTAAAAGGGACAACTCATCCGTTGGAAACTGGACATCGGAAAGATTTTTAACACGGGGATAAAATTGGTGATATTCAGTATGTATGTCGTTATTACGTTTACGGGATGAAGAAGATACAAGTCGTTTTAACTTATGGGATTGAATTTGATATTTCTCGTAAATGGCCATTGAAGCAAGTTCTCTGGCTTTCCCATCCAAAATATCAAATTCAATATTATGTAATTTATATGAAAGTTCAGAATATAATACTTTAAGGTGGGTTTTTAAGTTATCTCTATTGGAAAACCAACGACGACATTCCTCATTAAGCCAAATATTCTGAGCTTTGGAAATGGCAACACTGGCCGCTCGACTATGTGTGTTAGAACGTATTTGGATATAATTGGGAATAACATGAAGTTGTTTACACTGCTGATTAAACCAAACATTTTGAGCAGCAATACGATGTAGCTTTGTTAATTTAACATAGAGTCTTGCCTGTTCGGCCGTGCTAGCCTTTTTAAGATAATTGATAGAATCAGGCGTTACTTTGCGGAAATCCATTATAATAAAAAATAAAAATATAAATTTCTTTGCAACTTTCCGCTAAACATATAAAATGATGTGTCTTACCTGGATTGAAGCGCACCTCCCGCCCTCCCTCAATTGCATACACTAACTCCGTCACCACTAGACCAAGCACCACTACTCTCAACACCACTATTCCAGGCAAGACACACCATCGACGATAATACGACACGTGTTTCGCCTCTACACGAGGCATCATCAGGTAATATAGACTCTACGGCGGCTGACCGCTAAGTGAGCGGCGAGTCGAAACAGTTGCTATTTATACACGCTGACACAATCGCTCCCTACCAAAGTAGCGAGTGACCGCGTCGTGCGATAACAAACCTGTCAACAGTTATTATTATTGTTATGATTATTTTTAAATACTATTATTATTATTGTTTTGAGTGACCGCGCCGTGCGATAACAAATCTGCTACTAATTATTATTATTGTTATGATTAATATTTTAAATACTATTATTATTATTGTTTTATTGATATTATTATAATTATTTATTATTATTAATCTTAAAATTATTATTAAAGATTGGCCTTAAAGATGTTTAACAAAGGTGAATTAGAAACATTTGTTTGTTCATTCAGCAGTGTATAATTACCATTATTACTTTTTAAAATCTCCAACTGCTCCAGCACACACAGTCGCAGCCCCTTATTACAGGTATGTAAGACTTCAAAGGAATGGTCGCTAGCTAGGTTGTGTCCAGTGTCCAAGAGATGTTTAGCAAAATGGGATTTATCAGGATTGCAATTTCTGTACGCGGCCATATGTTCTTTATAGCGCGTCCCGAAATTGCGACCAGTCTGACCCACGTAAACGGCGTGGCATTCGTCACAAACAAGTTTATAAACACCCGATTTTTGACTAATATTTAACTTATCTTTATTATTATAAATATTCCTAAGTGAATTGTTTGTTTTGAATGCCACGTTAACGCCGTTTTTCTTAAGACTATTAGCTATTTTTTTCCGATATGGGGCCTAAGTAGGTCAAACTACCCACATACCGCCGGACACTTTGAGATCGAACCGCGTACAAAGAATTGCGAACAACATGCTTTTGTTTCTTTTTAATAAGATTATCAACGAGACTTTTTGAAAAACCGTTAGAGACCGCAATTTGATAAATTATATTAAGTTCTTTTAAATAATTTTCTTTATTTAATGGAACAGTGGACAGACGGTTAATGTAACAATAAAAAGCGGCTAATTTATGTTGCCATGGATGACACGATGATGCGATTCTTTTTTTGTTTTTTCTACCAATTTTGCCCAATCATCCTCTATGACATTGACACAAGCTTCAATGAATATAGAAGAAATATGTAGTACAAAAAGTTAAAGCCGAGTCACAAAATAAGAAAATGAACAAAAAATTACGCACAGTAAGCTCCCGAAATGGGGGGAGATTGAAATTACGTAGTGGATTTTTCAGCGCGGCCTTGTATATGAGTTTTCTGCCTACACTTTACGGTTACAAAGTAAAAAAATAAACTTGTTTTATTCATGATTCATGTAATTTAAATAATTTTAAAAATATAAAATTAATTCAACAAATAATACCTTAAAAAATAATGATTCGATTATTTGAATATTTTTACCGATTTTTTGAATATTTTTGCCAATTATTCGCATAACAATTAATTTTAATTATCCAAACACTACGGTAAGATTTATAGCGACTTGTCATTAAAACGACGTCATGTAAAATAATTTATTTTGGCTATTTTTTATAATATTTTCCTTTGTATGAAAGATTCGAATTTAAATTAGTGATAAAAACTATACACGTTGTAATGAAATATAGTTAACTTTTTAATTCTTCGGATTTACGTAAAAGTTTATTTTAAATCGTGTGAGAACGCTTGTTTAAAGTTATTGTGGAATAATTAATGTGAAACGTCAAAAGGTGTTTCTTAGATTTGGTTGAATTTAATAAGAAATAAAAATATGTATCTTTTTAAAATTTATAATTTTATAAGCCGTAATGCTGTGTTACCAAATAATACAATAAGAGCAATATTATAGTAAATCATTATTATATATGACTACTGATGTATTTTACTAATATTTTATTATTAATAAAGTACGTCAATTGTTAATCTAATTTTATAAGCTAATTATATACGAAGTTTCTTAATCAGTTGGCCAAGGGCCTCTACAGTGGTATATTTTAATAAATACTTACCACTGTTTCTACATATTGCTCAAACAAGTAAAAATATTATTTTTAATAATGTGGTCCTATTATTTCTTCTAGGGTGACCAGAGTAGTAAGCTAATGAAGCCATGCGATGACGAAGATTGTATTGAAGGATCAGGATCAAGTGGCGAAGATGTAACTGAGCCAGAACAAACTACTACAACGTAAGTGTTATTTAAATTTTTAATTTGTCTTTAAGAGCGTTTTACTCAGAAAGATCATCAGTTATAATAATAATAATTCACACTCAGCTCTATATCTGACTTTTGGGATTTAAATTATGTTACTTTAGTGAATTTCTGTTGTTAAGATCATTTTCACTGAAAACGAGGCATTTCATCTCAGTCTTTATCTCAGGGGTATCAACGCATTTTCATTTTGATTCTTGATTGAGGATAAATTTAGATTTCTATAGGCTACAGCATCCACTTACCATCAGGTGGACTGTATGCTCGATTGTCATCCTTATTCTATAAAAAAGGTAAAATCAATATCAAGCTTCTCACACTTAAATACTAAATTCTCTTTTATTTTTTAATAGTTTGATATAAAAAGCCATTTTTTGCTGTATGTAATTAATTCAAGTTTTAATCACCTTAATGTGTACTCAATTATGCTATACGTTATCCTGATAGTGAAAACGTTACATTTGAAGATACAAAAACATGATGTCGACTTGTGAATTAAAGATGATAACAAAAATAATACTTTAGGTCCAATTTCTTCAACAATTACTGTAGAAATGATTGGAATTCAATGCCTTTAAATATTTATTATTAATCTATTCAATTTTATCATATGTAAGAGGAAAAATGATTTCAGACCTGGTGCAAGCAGCACACACACCATGACATCACCCACTGCCATAATATCCACGGAACATATAGATAAATCCATAGCTGGGTCGACGGACAGTGCCACTGATACCACAAGTGGCACCACAAGAACTACGAACTCACACACTACTCCTCACGACCATGGTAACATGCACGCCGGCACTATTGATTCTGCTACCGTTCCCGATAAAAAGACAACATCCACAGAAGGTAATTGTTACCAAAATATAAGCAAAGTTTAAATTAGTTATAAATTTGCTTGGTCTAGTGGTTGTAGTAGTGCGACTGCTGATCATGAGGTCCTGGGTTCGAATCCTGTTCGGGCCAAAAAATTGATTATTGAGTTTTTCCGTCAAGAAATTCTGAGTAGTTGCCCAGAGTCAGGAAGTTGGCGGTGTCTCATCCCCGTGCCTTGTAAAGCACGTAAAGCCGTTGGTCCTGCGCCTAAACTCTCTGCGGTCGTGTCGGTTTACCGTACCATCGGACTATGAGAGTGAGGGAATAGAGAGTGCACCTGTGCTTGCGCATACTCTTGGGCACTATAATCCTGTCCTGCGCCGATGGCTAGTCCCCGATGAGGCAGGCCGCCGTGACCGAAATTCGGTCTGGAGGACATTATTATTATTAAATTTGCTTGTAATGCAGAGGTTATTTTTTTACAAGGAGCGCTTATGTACACTTTAATTTTTTATTTAAAATATGAAAAAAAAACTCTAACCAATCTAGAGAGATGTCACGATATGATACTGTTCAAGTAATTTCTTTTAAAGAATAATTAAAATTACCTCGGAAAAATTTAAATAAAATTTACTTCATTGGGATGCTTACGTAATACATGCTAACAAAATGTAGATGTCACGATGGTCAGTTGATCGTTCGTTTGGTAAAATAATAACTATAAAAAACGTAAACGCTGCGTAATTGCAGTCAGTTCAGATGCCACCGATGACGGTGTTTGCCAAATTATAAATGTTTTCTGAATTTTAAGCAAATGGTAGTAAGAAACATTTTATTTTGAATAACAATAGCATTGATCATCAGATAATATGATGAAGAAACCTGCATGATTGAAAAATTAAAAAAAAATATACATATTGCGAAATTACGAAAAGTCCCTCCCGTAAAGTCATTCAGGGCAGCGCGGTGGACACTCCTATTCTTAGTGATCGGTCGGGACTGTAATTTCAGTAGCTTTTATACGTCCATTTATTTGACAGTCCGCTATTTAGTTTTCCCGTTTGCATCTAACAAAAGTTTTATCTTATACAGCTTAATTTAATTTTTCTCTAATACTAAGACCTTTAATGTTATTCACATTGTCAGTAAAAAGCTCACACTATAGATATGTAATGTCCTTTTTACTATCTCTTCCTCTTACCTACTAGCAGTGACATGTTTTTTTTATAGTATAGGGTGACAAACGAGCACACAGTCCACCTGATGGTAGGTGGTTGATGTGGCCCATAGACATCTACATCTATCCTCGATTATGAATCTAAATGCAGATTCGTTGTCACCCCTTCATACTAAGATGGAATGCCTCGTATCCAGTAAAACGAGTCTCCGGTTCTCTACACTCACCATACGAAATACAGCAGCATTAAGGTACTATTTCACGCTGGTATTCTGTGAGAGCGTGGTCCTACCCCGGTCGAGCCGACCCATTCGTGCTACAACTATACTACTAATATAACTGCACCATGGTTCTACCACATATAAAATGTTAATAAATGTAGACTATAACTTAAATATGTACAAATATGTATTAAGTATAATTCTACATCATAACCAAGTAGAATGCTTATAGTTGCAACCAATTAAAGTCCACTGCTGACATAGGCCTCCTCCATTGATTGCCTTAGGGGGATATTTGCCATTCTTACCGCGCTTGGCAAGCAGGTTAACAACCGATCTAGAATACTTAATATAATAATACTTTATAAATAGATCATTACTTTAGTTGAAAAAAAAATATTTTCAGAACACACTCATACGGGTCATTTCACTCCTACTATTATTGTGAAGAATATGCCAGAGTCAACAGACACCACAGAAGAAGATACCAACAATATACGGGAGTATGAAGAACACCATGAGAATGAGATAGAGATACGCACTCCGGTGTACGAAGTGGGAAGTGAAAGAGATAGAGTGCCTGGTAGAATACACCCGGATTACAATGGCTATGAACATGAGATCACAACAAAGTGGTACCACCCGAAGACTACGGACAGTCGGGTGGTTCCGCCAGAATCAGAATTTTTCGCTACTATTGTCGGTAAGTATTACATATGATTGGAACTTGCTTTATTCGTAACAAAAACAAATAGTGCTCTAAAAATATAGCACATCGCTTAAGGCTAGGGCGGTATTAGACGAGGCTATCTTTAAAAAACAAAATATATGTTTCTACCTTTAGTAGCATAGACTGGCAGCCCGTGGAGTCCACGTGCCGTAGTCTCCGGAGGAACTGTAACATCGATTCTTCTTCAAGTGAAAACAGGCTTAATTTTTTTTTGCCTAAAAGCATAATATAGTCTATCACACGAAATGTATCTTGTATTTTTTATTTCATCGGGTAACAAACGAGCACACAGTCCACCTGATGGTAAGTGGTTGCTGCGGCCCATACACATCTACATCTATCCTCGATTACATATCAAAATGCAGATGCGTTGTCACCCGTGAGGACTAAGATGGAATGCCTCGTTTCCAGTAAAAAGGGTCTCCGGTTCTCTACATCCACCATACGAAACACAACAGCATTAAGCTACTATTTCACGCTGGTATTCTGTGAAAGCGTGGTCCTTCCCCGGTCGAGCCGACCCATTCGTGTTACAACAGCTATACTACTAATATAACTGCAGCATGGCTCTACACTTAATATACACGCATCCTTGATAGTGTACAGTAAGTAGTAGGGCTAAATAATTTAGCCTCACGACTTACGGTAAATTAGCATCATTGTAGTTTTTAGTTTTTTATTGAATTAAAATTAAATATAATATTGTTAATATTACAATAGTTTCTACGTTAAAACACCATTTAAATAATATTATAATAAATATTTAAGAAATATTAAATTGTGATTGGTCAGAATTAACTTAATGAGAATAATAAAATCCAAGTACATTCATGTTTCCTTTTCTTTAATTTATAAATATACTTTACGAAAAATGTTATGTGATCTATTTTGAAAAGTAAAGTAATAAAATATTCTTACAGGTATAGTAGCGTCTGTGCTCATAGCAATAATACTCATAGTCATCATTGTGCTCAAGTACTTCGTGTTCAAGATTGATCCCTCGTACAAGGTTACGGAGGATAAAAACTACCAACAAGGTGCTAGCGCAGCCTTATTAGGAAACCAGGTAAGTTGTTCAATACATGCAGTACAAAATTTTGACAATAGAAATAGGATTCAATCAGACGGTTTTTGTGTAAATCCACTACATGATAAAAAAGAACAATCTTTTCTAAGATTTTCGAATATTACTTTTGGAACTCGAGTTAGATTTTAACGAATATACAATAATTTAAATAATAATTTAAGTTGTCTGGAAAAAATAGGGTGTAAAATGTGAACGGAGTAGAAGCCTATGGCTGATATGTTACAAAAAATAAAAACAAAAATTTAGAATTAAACGTTTGAATTTTTTAAATTACTTTCCCCTGCCCTTGAGCCTGTGACCCTGCAAAGTTACAAGGTCAAAGATGCCAAATAAATTTAGAATTTAAATAGGGTTATTTATAAAGTAGTATTACTTACGCCAGGACGTTACGTATGTAAGCTTTGTGCCAATTAACATTCTATAGGCATTGCCTGAAGGGAATAAATTTATTGTTAATAACCCCTCTAAGAAATAAGAGGTTGCTGGAAGTGGAACGGATATAGACTGTAACTTTATCCGGAGAGCACAATTATTACCATCTAGGTCTACTTTGATATTATAAATATCTTTGATATTAAAACTGTAATTGAATATGCTACTACACATTAGTATTATTTAGGAATAAGTCTTTTACTGTCCAGGCCTTTTTTTCGTTTACGAAATGAAATCCCATTGGCATCCCTACCGGTATTTAAAGAAAATTAGTCAAGAATACCTTGCACTTTAAATTGTAACTTTGCTCTTACACTACCATTGAATATAATACATATAATATGTAGGAAATTGATTGCATTTAATTAAATAATTCAATATATTTATTTTATTTTTATTTTAGTGTGTATATGTGTTTGTATCGTATATATATATATAGATATATATATATGTCTTTTTTATCACACCAAAGAAATTGCTGTCAGCAGTACGACCGCTCATTGCATACTTATTATAATATAATCTGTAATTTTTGTGTGGTGTTCAATGACGAATGTTAAATACATAAAAAATATATAAATACAGTCTGTGCTTGATAGCACTTTAATAGATTGAAGATATATTTCTAAGACATGTGAAATCCCTCAACGCACACAGGGGTAGCGCGGCGGAGATTTTGCCCATTAGGGTATTAACCCAATTCGCCCTATTAATAAACACAGACTTGAGCAAGATTAACTTTACTCCTGGTTTAAAGCTTAAAATATTTAATTTCAGTATTAATAAAAATAGAGTAATGAGGGAGTAAACTAATCCGAATCTACTCTCGGAATAAAAGTTAATCCTTGGCGGTACCTAGTTTAATGACTGAGTAAGCATAGACTAGTCGCGTATTTTGACATTTTGTAAAACTTTACGTTTACACGCGTTGTTAACCGTGTTAAATTCATAAGTTGTAAGCACTAGTATCTAACAAAAACAGCATAATGGATTAAAATGCCAAGAAGTGATGTGGAATAGAACAAAGTCATTGCAGGTTTTTATTCATTATATGTATTTAGACAAGTCGCTGGAAACATCGGACAATACGGTACTACATAAACAGAAAAGGATACAGTTCAATAAATGTACAAGTAAGTTTTATAGCACCTAGCTAGTCCATCTTTGCCATATAGGTACTTAGTTGTTTTCTTAGATTCAATACAATCACCTCAATCTATTATTTCATATTAAAGTAGTTATGAGTGCTTTGTTCCAGGTTGTATCAAAAGCGAATTTAGAGTTCATGAATACAGTGGCACATAGGCAAGGCAGCACACATGACTCAAGAATATTGAATGAAAGTCACATTAAAACAAACGTTTGAGCAGTCAGAATTTAAAGGCAGACTTCTCGCAGATTCTGGTTATGCTTGTAGTCCTTATTTATTCACTCCTATCCTGCGTCCTAATAAACAAAAGGAAGAAATGTACAACCGGTCGCACATCTGGGCCCGTAACACTGTAGAACAATGCTTTGGAGGGAAACAAAGTTTACTGCGAGGACTAAAATACTAAATAAGAGCGTACAAAACTATATACATTGCAATGTAAAAGCAAGATCTGTTTGAGTATGTAGTATAAGGAGATGATGAAAATATATCAGTCACACAATTAGTAAATAACTCCGTTAGAGGAAATTCTGTTCGGGCAGCATGTATTAACGATTTTTTTTTGAAATAAATATACAATAATTACATTTACAAAAGATTTTATTTATCCCTGAAAAACAAAAAAAAAATGGTTATTTAATTAATTTTGCCCATCGCGCTCTTTTCTTAATTCTAAAATTTCGTTTTTTTTTTTTTTTTTTTTTTTTTTTTTATAGAAGAGGGGGCAAACGAGCATGTGGCTCACCTGATGTTAAGTGACTACCGCCGCCCATGATCAACCGCAACACCAGGGGAATTGCAGGTGCGTTGCCGGCCCTTTAGAAAGGAGTAAGCTCTTTTCTTGAAGGTCCCCAGGTTGTATCGGTCCGGAAAAATCACCGGTGGTAAATTATTCCACAGAGAGGTTGTACGCGGAAGAAAACTCCTTTTGAAACGTACAGTGGTGGACCGCCAAGCATCCAGATGGTGTGGATGGTATCGGGACGTTTGCCGTGTAGTGCGTTCACGAAATTTGGCGGCTGGGATTAATCCGAACAATTCCTCAGAGCACTCCCCGTGATAGATGCGATAAAATACGCAAAGAGATGCAACATCTCTTCGCAGCGCCAGTGAATCGAGCCGATCGGAAAGCACTCGGTCGTCGACGATTCGAGCCGCTCTGCGCTGGATGCGGTCAAGTGGAAGGAGCTGGTACTGGGGAGCCCCAGCCCAGATATGGGAACAGTATTCCATGAGCGGCCGAACCTGCGCCTTGTAAAGTTGCAGGCGGTGTGCCGGCATGAAATACTGTCCCGCTCTGCTGAGCACGCCAAGCTTTTTAGAGGCCAATTTGGCCTTCCCTTCCAAGTGACCACGAAACTGCACGTCACTCGATATGTCGACGCCGAGGATTCCGATACTGGCTGAGGCAACAAGGGGAGTGCCTTGAAACTGAGGGGATACGACAAAGGGGTTCTTTTTAGCGGTTAACGCGCAAACTTGTGTCTTCTGGGGGTTAAACTGGACTAGATTTAGTCGCCCCCAATCCGAGACTCTGTCCAGCAGAGACTCGACTTCAGACACAAGTTTGTCCCGGCACTCAGAGACGTTTTCCCGAGAAATATTTGCTCGGCCGGTGTAAAGAGCATCACCAGTGCTGTCATCTGCATAGCAATGAATGCTACGGGTTTGCAACATATCATTGATATGCAGAAGAAACAGCGTTGGCGATAGCACGCAGCCCTGTGGAACACCAGCATTAATAAGCTTGCAATCGGAGCTTGCACCGTCTACAACGACCTTGATGCTCCGATCTGCAAGGAAACTGGTGATCCAATCGCACAATTTCTCGGGAAGCCCATAGGAAGGGAGCTTCGAAAGAAGCGCTTTGTGCCAAACCCGATCGAAGGCCTTCGCAATGTCCAAACTAACGGCCAATGCCTCCCCCTTGGACTCTACTGCCTCCGCCCATCTGTGAGTTAGGTAGACCAGAAGATCACCAGCTGACCTACCACGGCGAAAACCGTATTGGCGGTCACTAATCAGCTGGTGATCCTCAAGGTACCTCATGAGCTGGCAGTTTACAATGGACTCCATTGTTTTGGAGAACAAGGAGGTGATGGCGATAGGCCGGTAGTTGGACGGGTCTGAGCGGTCGCCTTTTTTAGGGATCGGGTGGACGAAAGCCGTCTTCCATGATTTTGGGACTACGCCTAGGGAGTAGGAGTACCGGAAAAGACGCGTTAAAACCGGTGCCAACTCTGGAGCACACGTCCTCAGCACAATTGGGGGGATTCCATCAGGCCCACTCGACTTATGGATGTCCAGGGAGAGGAGTGCTTTGCGAACCGAGCGCTGAGTGAAGTGCACTTCCGGCATGGAGCACTCACACCGCGGGATGGTCGGCGGCGTACTCCCCCGTCATCGAGAGTCGAGTTAGACGCAAAGAAAGAGCCTAGAAGATCGGCTTTCTCCTTTGCGGTGTGGGCCAGTGAGTCGTCCTCCCTGTGCAGAGATGGAAGAGATGGCTGACAGAAATTCCCCTGGACAGCCTTGGCGAGAGACCAGAATGCACGGGTTCCAGAAGGAAGACGAACTAGTCTCTCGCCAATTCTGCCTATGTGCTCTGACTTTGCCTTGGCAATGACTCTTTTGAAGGACCTAGAGGCGGAATTATACTTCTTTTTTAGAGCGCTGGTGTTTACATCCCTGGACGCTGATGCGTCAGCCCAGGCTTGGTAGCACTCCTGCTTATAGCATGATGCTATTTTACAGGAGCGACCAAACCATGGCTGAGATTTGCCTCCAATGGGCACCACAGAGGAAGGAATAAAAAGTTCCATACCCTGAAGTACCACATCAGCGACAGAATCCGCAACAACGTTGGGATCATCCGGCGAGAAGCAAACCCGCCCCCAAGGGTAGGATGCAAAGAAAGACCGCATCCCATCCCAATCGGCTGACCTATAGTGCCAAACACGGCGGCAGCCTGCAGAATGCAACCGCGATTTCAGCGTGAGTGGCACCACACTCCGGACAAGACAATGGTCCGAGGAGCCTAAAGGGGCGTCGACGGAAATCTGATATCCGTCCGGGTGAGAGGTCAGCAGAAGGTCCAACAGGGAAGGTGCATGATCCTCCACATCTGGAATCCGCGTAGGCGAAGTAACCAGTTGTGTCAGACCATATGCCAAGGCAAAATCATGAACAGATCTCCCCGCATGATCGGTTAAACGTGAACCGAGCCATTCGGCGTGATGGGCGTTCGTTACAAATAATATTAAAAAAGATTATATTTAGAACTTAGTTTTTCCACTGAGTCCGAAAACAACACGTGGAACAAGGTACAACACGTAACACTTATCTCTTGCCAAACTCAAAATATTGCCTGTCACTGTCATTAATGTCATTATCAAGCATTGAATTCATTCGCTAATCATTCAGTGACTCACTCTTTTTACTTTTAAAATAAGTGGGTTGCCATAGCGCAACCGTTAATCCCGGCGTAAGGAATGTATAGTTAGTCCGAGGTTACTCCATGTTTATTAATAAAATTGTAATAACGAAGTAAATAGTCAGTTACTCTGAGATTACCTATTCCAAGTGTAACTTCGAATTAAGCTTGGAATACGCAATTTTTATTAATAAGGCAGAATAAGAGTAACTTTACTTTTTATGTTCACTAGGCGCACTCAAGTTACCAGAGCGGTGCGAACGGTTCGAACGGTGCGGGAAGCGCGGCGCGCAACCTGCAGCCGCTGCCGCTGAACCGCAGCGCTGCACCGCTCACCCCGCTCCCCGCGCAACCCATCAAGCGCGACGGCATCAAGGAGTGGTACGTTTAAAGCGCTGCAGCTGTTAAGTGATCAGCTGCAACAAGAAACATTTGTGTTGACCTATTGCAGAATTTATTATAATTTACACTGACTTTTAGTGACGTATGAAAGAGACTCGTATGAAACAAACGCTTACGTTGCCCTTCTGCTTCATGTTTTATAATTTAAAGAAATAATTTATTAACATAAATTAAATACTAATATAATTACATTTTTAATACATACTTCCTTTATTTTCTTATTTTTAAGTCGTAATGGTAATATTAACGACTGGCTCGTTGATTCAGTAGTTCTCAACGCAATTGCTGATCATGAGGTCCCGGATTCAAATCCCGGGTCGGGCCAAAAATCAGTTATTGAGTTTTTCCATCAAGAAATTCTCAGTAGCAGCCCGGAGTCAGGAAGTTTGCGGTGTCTCACCCAAACCCGAATTTACATCGAAAAACACGTAAAGCCGTTGGTCCAGCGCCTGATCTGTCTCCGGTTGTGTCGGATCAACGTCTATACACTGGGCACTATAATCCTGTCTTGTGCAGATAGCTAGTTTCCATTGAAACTGGTTACCGTGATTGAAATTCGGTATGGAGAACATTATAAATAATTAGTGTGTTTTATTTTTATTTATGTCTGGAGTGAGTAAACGTAAAAAATGTTTTATATACGTTTAATGGCTGTCGCAGATAATTAATAAGAATCGTTTTTTTTAATGTAGTTATTATTTCATATAAGTATACTACTTTTAAATAGTGCGTATTTTAACTTTAGTTTAAAAAATCACTATATAAGCTGAGTCTGTTGCAAAGATTAATTCGTGCTTCGCCTGTGCCTCGCATATGGCTCGGCTTAATTTAGCACGGTCAATCATCCTTTGCTTTGATATAAAGTTGTGGTACCGTATTTGTTCGCATTTTAGTTAAGTTTACATTGCCATGGAATGACAGTACCGCTAAGTACCATATTAACACTGTAAGTTTATTTTAGTAGGTCGTAGCACATTTTCTACCTAGGAATCTATCTGGGTAGGTAGGTAAATAGGTAGGTAAAATTTCTGCCGCCAAATAGCAGTGCTTGCACTTCTGTGATCCAGCCTGAAATAGTATAGAGAACCATTATAATTACAGGCTGTGAAGCATTCCATCTTTATCCTAAGAAGTGACAATGCATCTGTAGCCTTCTACGTTTGAAGTCGTAATAATAAGACAATAGAAAAGCATAGACGCGTGACATTGTCGTCACTATGATGTGTTGACGAACATCATTCACCATTTTGTGATTTAGTTGCGCGGGAAAGGTCGTACGTGAATTTATCTCATTATAAATTTATAATGGTGAACTGCATCATAATCAATTGTAAAAACTCATCAAGGACGTGTAATTCAATTAATAAAGGCATAAAATGTCATCGGTTAGTTGATTATTTACTAATTATAATTGTTTTAACTGATTTACATCTAGACGAATACTTTACTATGATATTTCCCTTTGTAAACTTTTATTTATTACTTTTCGTGTTGACAATTGGTGCTTTTGTTATACCGTAATACGCGACGCAACGTTGACAAACTCGTCAAGTAATGTAATGTGAAACATTTGATATCATTGTGCATTGCGTATGTTTATAATAGTGTAAGATGTGGCGAAATCGGTTTTGTAAGTCATCGAGCGATAATTCATTTCTATTGTCTTATTATAATTATTTCTGTGGAAGTTGACCGCAAGTGCCCCTGGACTACAGTAGCTGTTTACCCTTAGGTGAACTGCACGTGCTTTTGTCACTTAACTGTATTTCTCTGGTTCTTTTTTGAACATTTAACGCTACTTATATTTTATTAAATAAAAACTATTTGATTTGAAATAACATTTTTGATCATTATAATTTTTGAAACGGATTTATTATAGAATACCTAATTTCATTATAACGATTGCCGTTTATATTTTTGTAAATAATACAGCAGAAGGGAACAAAGCCTTTGTTTTTCGTCAACTTTAAGTATTGTAGCTACAGCATTTTTCATCATTTAAATAAGAACGAATTATCGTGCAAACGACATAGAACATATCAACATGAAAGTGATTTGCAACTGATAATACTCCGTACAGCGCAGTTACTACGGATTTAAATCAAAAGTTGAGTTCTTTATAATGAATTGGTAAGAATTAATGCAGTTGCTATCAAGTCTTGAATTAAAATTAAATAGAAAATGTAAATCTAGTATCGTTATGTTATTACATCTGATTCGTAAAGAAATATAGATAGAGCGGTTCGTTCGTTTGAACTTCTTGACACACATCCTAATTTTATATTACTTTTACAGTCGGTAAAAGTTCACTCTTAGATGCACACATATGCGCCTAAAACCATATTGTACGTTTCAAATGAATTTAGATGCATATGGGTGTGTGTCTGTTCTTAAAAGTCGAGCACAGTTTTGACTTGGTTTCGCCGTAACTTAAAATGTAGGCAGCGCTCCGTCTTTCTTTATTAGTTTGAGGATGTCAATTTTAATGTTGTAAGGAAATACTTTTAGGAAATGTTTATCATACAATTTCATTTTCTATTTTACTAAGTCTTTATCTTTATCATAGTTTTCGACTATATCTACGAGAGTTGCATTAATTCTTACGGCGAGTTAATTATTTATAAATTAAAGCATGCCTGTTATAAATGCCATTAAAATATTATTTGCTTTAAGACATTAGAATCATAAAGTACGAACTGTAAACCGACTGATTCGCCAGTGTTTAGAAATGTAAATATTAACACTAAATTAATTATTATAACATCACTTGTGCGAATGAATGTATATTTCGACACCTTATCTTATATATCGATGCATACGAACCTAATATTATTGGAATTGGAGTATAATATTTCAGGACCACTTCGTTGTTGTTGAATAATCTTCTTTTATATATTTTATATAAAACTATCCTTTTTTACATTATCAGTGCATTTGTTATAACTTTCAGTATTACATAATTTTTTTTAATATTTTTAATTCTTTAAAGGGTTAGCTCGAAATAAAAATTAAAATAAGATGTTTTAAAATGTATGGGGTCTAGACTGGGTTTTTAAAATAAGCAATCCCAGATAGAATGTTTTTAACTATCCATTACTTTTAATTTCGCTTTGTTTGCTCCTACACATGACAAGAATTATACCTTAGAATTGCAATACGTAACAAAAACATCGTGGTGGTAATATGTCATTTGACCAATGACGTTGATATAAATAGTTATTTTTGTTTATTATACTTTCTTTAAAATATCTAACACTTGATGGCTGACAGTATATTTCGGACTATGTTCCACCGTCTCTTTTATTTAAATCGGTGAAAAGCCATATTGAAAATTGACTAATATAATTTATATTAATAATTTTTAATATTTTTCTCGGTTTTTAAAAGTAGTGAACATAAACCCAGTCAATTTTAAAACATCTCATTTGTTGAACACTAACTATTAATTCAGTTACCTTATCTATGTAGATGAGAACAATAATCAAGTTTTGGAGCTGCCAGCACTGAAAATAAAGCATATCGTTCAATTAAAGACTATTGTAATTTTTCGATTTAAAAGTTTCTCTTTCCTATATAAAATAGATCTTATACAAATATTTTTACCAAATAGCTGATGCGTGGTGACTAGGTGAGTTAGGAAATGCGATTATCATTATTTGATATTAAGAATAAAAATTGCTTGGAATACGCAGGTGTTATATGTTATAAAGTAGGATGCGTTACCAGCATATGAGCTTGTAGGAATGATACGGAAGGTAAAAATAACTGGTTTCATCTCCCATCTCCTTTCATTGCTCAAAATTTTGTCCCTTTGGCTTTTCAATTCATGTTTAATCCTATTAATAGAGGCCTAAGACAGAATTATATAACACTAAGCGAAATAAAAACTAATTTGGTTCGATCAATATTTCGCATAATTATATTTGTATATACCTATGAAGCATAACTATATAAGTAAAAAATGTTTTATTACATTAAAACATAAATGACTAATTTTAAAAATATTATTTAAATTTAAATTTAGTCTCATATTTTAAAAATAATCAAACATAACATGATAATACAAAAGTAAAAATATAGATTTGGAGTACCTCAAGGAAACCTTTTGAGACCATTTTGATTTCAAATCTTTGAGAAAAGAAACTTAAAATTAATGGATAAGTTTCATCACTGACGGTAAATAAAATAACTAATTATAAAGACTAATGCATGCTGTTTACCCTTTGATTCATAACCTTAAAATAAATTGCTTACATTTATGTACCTACTATTAGATACTACATCCACCGTCCCGTTTTCCTCTTTCCGAATAAAAAACCTTGAATTAGCTTTAAATTAAGATGGATAAAAGTCATTATTTATATAGATTGTTATAAAGCACAGGTTCTAGGTATTCGGAGTTGCATTTATTGTATATAGTTAATAATTATGTACTGTAATGTAAGCGGTATTATACGGTGTAGCCACACTCGTTTTACGGCACAAAATGTTAGTATCAAATATTTGTTTGTCTGTCAATTTTAGTAGATAAATTTAATGGTTAAAGTGTTATGATTTATACCGAAATATTAATTCTAAAAATTACTCCTATAACATTTTCTACAGGCATAACATTAATCGCAAAATAAATGAGATAATGATATAGGAAGCTAAATGCTAAATTTTCTTTTATATTCCCTTATAAGCTTAATATCAGCTATTTAAATATGTTAGCAATAAGTTCGTCTTAACTTCTACCTACTTTATGATTTGTTTAAACTAGTATACTCGTAATAGTCGAAGTAGTATAATGAAAACATTTGTGTATATTTCTTAATAATATTTTGTAAATGAATTTCTGTAATTTAAAGCTTATTAAGTTATTTATCTGTAGAAAATGTGGACAGGCTGAAATATTATTTTTGCAATGTGATCATCCCATGTTGTTGTACAGTCGCCCTTGTTCATACCAAGTTCTGTTTATAAGTAAAGCGGTCAGTTTTTCAAATA